TCACTGGCAAATCTACTGAGTTGGCATCAGGATTTCACCCACGCCACCTTTGCAAAGGACAGCATCTGGCAATGAAGAGAAGCTGTTTGATTGTTTTCCTTTTTTTTAGCCAGTTTCCCAGTACAGAGTGGAAAAAGGCCAATGCCATCAGAATCGGCAGAGGACAAGGGGATGTTAGGATGGGGTTTGGCAAAGAACAAATGAACAGAAGTGAATGGCCACATGACCTACTTCTTGCAGAGAAAATGGATTCCTTACCTTCTCAGAGCACTCCTAGCTGCAATGCCAGGGAGAGGACTAGCAATGCTTTTGGCATATAAACTGCAGCCAGGCCTAGGATAAACTAAGGAAGGACTGGCATAATGGGAAGAGCACGTTTGCTTTGTTGGAGGAATATAAACAATGTTCTCCCATTGCAGATCCAATGCAGACTTTCTACAAAATTGGCTGCCTTATGAACAAACTGCCCTTGCACAGCGGTAACCTCTTAATCATCAGTATGATGTGCACACCCATGCAGATGCTCGGTTTAAACATTAGAGAAAACTTTTGGTAAAGGCTGAAACACTCATGCAGTGAGCCTTTCTATGGGAGTCTTCTCCAAAAGAATGCATCTTGCAGGTCACTGGAAAATGGAGACTCAGCAGGAGCATGAGCAGATGCCTGCTGGGATAAAAAGCCTGCCACATTTTCCCTCTGAAAACTTCAAGTATCCCTGTGTGCTTAGCACCTGGGTGTGTTTGAAGGTCATCTGTGTGCAGGAAGACAGCAGATTCTGTGGAAATCAGGTATGTGCCGGCTCCTCACTGAGCTCCTCCATTTGCCAATCCTTGTCACACCACCGTTTCCTAAGGTGAAACATCCATATCTGCAAAACTCAGTCATTCATGTTGCAGAAGCAGGAGCCCTGAACTGAGTTCTCTTTGAGGCCAGCCACTGTGCTGCAGCGCGGCCCCAGCAGCAGCAGGAAAATTATTCAAAAACACTCTGAGGGGAGCCTCCTCACCAGAGGGAGGCAACACAGACTGGCCCGCTAGTCTGTGCAGAAGAACCGAAGAGCTTTACCTTCAGTGTTTAGCTAGAGATACTGCTTCCTTGCCAAGTGGAAAAGGCACAGTATGAGATGTAGTTAAGCATATGTGGGCAACACTAAATTTATTCTCACAGCCCAATTTAGGAGTAAGTGGAGTGTAGATGGGATAGACCCACGTATACCAAAACTCCAGGTGCTTGTACAACACCAGACATCACACACATGCATTCCTCATCCTACTGCCGGCTCTTCAGTGCTTCATTTTAGCTTCTGTTCTCACTTCTTTTCTCCTTTGTTGCTTTCAGCACCAAGACCCTGAGAATCCTGCTTTATTCACTCTGCTCTTTTGGCAGTGGTGGTGGAGAGATACAGTCTTAGTCTCTTCACGAGCAGGATTTTGGCTGGCAGTAGTATGGATGTTTCCAGTACCAGGACTGTCAAGCATCTATCACAGCAATCCCTTTAGACTCTTTTGATGGTAGAGAACAGGCCTTCGGTTACTTTACAGAATTTAAGGTATGGTTTTCAAGTCATTGAGCAGAGGGGAAGAGAGAGGGAGAGGCAGATTCGCCCTAGGAAGAAACATACCACAGGAAATAAATGAATCCTGCTCCAGCCAGATAAAGAGTGTAAGAACAAAAGATAGAAGGAGACATGGAAAACATGAGTGCAGCCAGGGCTGGTGACAGCATTATTCTCTGACACCTTGCCGAAAGCAGCATTCCCACAGAGAAAACATTTTCCACGCCAGCGGGTAACTGTCAGAGAATATAGCAGTTGCGTCCCACCGCCTTTCTGGAAGGAAAGCCCCTCTTACTTGATCTTTTTTTTACAAGGCAGGGACAGCTTCCTTGCTGGCATCAATCCCCGCTTCCCTATTGGTGTATGAAGGTTTGCCAGCCTGGTGAGAGATGTGTCTGCTGTTGGAAGTTACTGGGCAATGGGGTATGATACAAATTTGCTAGTGACCTCACTGTTTTCATAATTAATCTCTCATATATTGTAAAATATGTTGTAAAATGCAAAGTGACACAGTACCGTAAGTACTTAGTTGTCACTGTCTTGTCCGCAGTGAATTGACCCTTATAAAAAAAAATGACGAAGAGCTCACTCAAAAACCCTGATTTCCAGTATGTGACTGTAATTGTGTATGCCTTGATAAATCCCTAGCAGTTGCTTGCTGTGGTAATACCTGATTTAAGCCAATTCTGCAATGGCAGCTTTATGCTCTTACTTACAAGGTCTTCTGAGGCTACTCGGGAAAGGAAATTGAAGCTTAGAAATAGTGTAGTTGCAGGTCCAGATCTCGAAAAGGGGTTATTTCAGTGTTTAAAAAAGGTCTGATGTGGGGATTGGTTTAAAGCCCTTTCAGGTTCCCTACCTTGATGAGACTGTGTCAGGCCCAATGGCGTAAAGACTCTTCTGACCATGTTGTAAGTAGGTCAAAGATCGTAGATACTAGGATTTGCCCTGTCTCACCAGGGTTGGTTTTTTTTTAAAGCTTTGTTATGAATTTGAGGCTTGGGAGAAGTGTCTAGTTACCAGCTTCTGACACGTGTGTATTCTATCCGCACACCAGCTACAATGTGAACAGTGCAGCCTTGAAGCCGGCAGGCTGTGGCTTTCCTGCCTTAAACAGTCGCACCATTTAATGTGTAGTGGCATATGGCACGCTCTGGGGGTGCTATCTGAACTCAAAAAAAGCAACAGAAACCTATTACATTGTTATACTTCACTCCAAAACATAAAGCCATTCTGAGAGAAGGAGCATATTGGAGGAGTGGAAAAGATACAGACAGGCCAGTTAGGGCATTCTTCCACTTAAAGCTTTCTCTGATTAAGAAGCGTGCAAGATGTCACATTTCTGTTCTTATTCTTCACTGAATAAGCAAGGAATAAATTCTTTCCTGCGAGTACCAGACTGAGTACCAGGCTGATTATTCCTCAAGTTCAGAGCATTGCTTTCAAAACATAAAGTTCCAGAACAGAAAAGCACCAGCATGTGTTTTTGTCCTTCCAGGTCTCACTGCAGCATCCAGTTGACACAGACTGGCACAATGACTTATTCTGGGGACTGTTCTTTCGAAGATAGCATCGGGACCTCATGTGCCAGTGGCACTTGTGAAACAGGCTATGCCATTTTCAAACTAGACACCTCAGAAATTCAGAAGGTGACATGCAAGCAGATATTTATCTGCTCAGTGTGCAGGAACGCAGAACTTTCCATCATCTGGTCAAGGAGGAAATGGCCTCTCCAGTACTGGAAATAACTGAAAGTTCCGAGCATAAGGATGCTGCAGTAGTTTGTAGGATGCTACCTCCCATGACCTGAGCTGGCCTGGAAAGAATGTTAAATGTGCTCGAGGAGAAGCTCTGCTCTCTTAACCTGAACTTCAGGATGAGCCGAGCCTACTAGCAACTGCTACTGTCATTTATTGGTCGGCCGTACCAAAGCCAATGGAAAACAATGCCTCTGTGCCAAGTTGCTCAGAGAAGTGAAAGGCAGAGAAGCATGGAGGTGCTCAGCGTAGAAATTGTGTGTTGCATATCTGTGACAGGGATGGATGCCTTTTACTGGCCCTGTGCAGACCATGCTTGGCACCTGGGTGAATGACTCTGCTCTTCACATCGTGTATGACAGCATTTTTGAGACAAAATTTGGTAGTGTTGAGATCACAGATCAATGCTTTTTGTCTGCATTGCTATTTCTCTGTTGTCATACACTTACATCATACAGGGAATAGCCTGTTGTTCACAGGTTCACAGCACTAACACGAATGGAATTCTGGCCCGTGACTCAGTTTCCCTTGTGTTATCACCATACAAATAAGTAAATAGTAATATTAAAAGGAGGGAGGACAAATGTATTGTCTTGAGTAGAGCAGGTTGGATATTCCAAGACGTTTCAGGCTGTGCTCAGCACCTTGTGGGATTTGGCTGTGCATGTTTTGGTGCCTGATTAATTTTTATTTTTTTTTTTTGCCTTTGGGAGGGGAGATAAGAAGCTTTTGCTGCTGGGCCAAAGAATCTAATTCATGTATTTATATATTCTACAGGACTAGACTTCAGGAGGCTGCCAAGCATTTTCTGATTAATGGAAGTACAGTAGTGATTTCTGTAAAAATTCCATGAAGAAAGCAATTTGCTATAGAGACGTTATAGAATTCTGCTTCTGTGAGGCTTTATGCGTGAGGTATTGTGAGTCACTAGGCAATAAAGAACAAACCTGAAAGCCCCGCTGCGGCTCTGTTTTGACAGAAATTACTATCTCGTCCCGCGTGAGCACACGTTGGATCTGTGGAAGGATCTGGCAGTTTAGTTGATGCCCGGATCGAATCGCAGCCCGCAGTGGTAAACTCTTGAGCGTGAGGAGAAGTATGGTGTGTGTGTACGAGCCCGTGTGCACGAAGGTACACTGAGCTTTCAGCACGCGTGTGCATGCTGCTCTGTTCTCCCTGAGACGACTCTCCTCTCCCTTTGTCTCCGTGCTCCCCCCGGTACAGATAAGCCGCGCTTATTTTGGCACCGTCATCCCAGCAGCCCGGGAAGGACCAGACACTCGCCCCTCCTCCCCTCGCTCGGTCTCCCCCCCCCCTGCCCCGGCCCCATCTCTCTCTCCGTCCTCTCCCGGCCCGCAGCCCACCGCGCCCGCCCCGCACCCGGCCTCCGCCGCCCTGGGCAGCCGTGAGCAGGCGGGGGCCCCCGCCCCTTCTCCCTCCCTCCTCCACCGTCGCCTCCTGAAATTACACCTCGCCGCTGAAGGCTTACCGGAGCAGCTGTTCTCCGCTGTTGCGTGGCGCTGCCCGGGCGCCCCCTCCCCGGGCGGGCTCTTCCTCCACACGGCGGGAGCGGGCCGCGCCCCGGCGGCACCGAGGCCGCGCTTAGGGCCGCCGGGAGACGGAGGGCGCCCTCCGAGGGGAGGAGAGGCGGCTCTCGCTGACGGTTCCCGACCCCCACCTCCCTGGCCGCCCCGCGCTGGCTGCGGCCCGCGGACGCCATGGCTGGTGAGGCCGAGGACCTGAACGGCCGGGAGGCCCAGAGCGTCTGCGAGGCCCTGGGGCGCTACGAGGAGTCGCTGCGGGGCGCCGTGCGGGAGATGCGGGCCGACATCCAGGTGTTGAAGCAGGGGGTGGGCCGGCAGGTGGAGGAGGTGCTGCGCCTCGCCAGCCCCCTGGCACACGCCGTCTCTGAGCTGCAGCGGGAGAACCGGCGTCTGCGGGCGCAGCTGGAGGGCCTATCCCGGCAAGTGGAGGCCCTCGGCCGGTCGGCGGGGCTGCCGCAGGAATGGGCGGATGAGGCAGTGGGGAGCCCCCCAGCTGCGGGGCCTGGCTCCCCTGGGCAGGGCCCGGCCGGCGGCAGGTTCTCCAGCCATGCCAAGCTGGCAGTCACTGGTCGCAGCCAAGTAAGTGCTGGCCGCGGGAGGGAGGGCTGGGTGGGTGCAGGAGCAGGTGCTTCCCAGGTGTTGCTGGGCTCTGTGTGGGTGCAGGGGAGCCTTTAGGCACACGGGGCTCCTTTTTTGCTGTCCGGGTCAATGGGCTTTTGGGAGGTGCTCTGAGAAATTGTCTCGGCCCTGGTACCACCTGGAGGCATTTCTGATTATGGCACTGCTTGGTCCGACTGGGATTTTGGTCAGAGTGGTAGCAACCTGTCAGTTCATTGTGGTTAAGAGTAAGAAGAAAAGCCAAGGCAGCCTCAGCTATCAATGTACAAATGTACGTGAATATCTGTGTATCCTTTCTGGACTTGATTCGGGGGATCTGTGTGCCAGGCAATGCTGTTTACCAGTTGGCAAGCTCACAGAGGAGAACAGCTCAGCATATGGCAGGCAATAACATGTTTTCCTAAGGTAGTGACCTAGCATCTTGCAGTGGGACAGTTTTCTGCACAACCCCTGTCTTGCGCTGCTGCAGCTTATCCCCAAGAGGTGGGCCTCACACATGCTGTTGTGGTCTCCATGACCTAAACTAGCACAAACACATTCCTCCCAGTGATAAAACTTTTTTTGCAGAGCCTTGTTACTTGGTGCATGGAAACCCCAGCTAGTGGGAAGCTCATCTGGCCCTGAGACATTTTGTGTAATACTCTTTCTATGTGTCCAGCTCAATGGAAAGAGTTGGGAGCTCCTGTACAATCCTTGACACTAGAAGGTAGTAGCCAGACAGTACACTGTGATTCAGTCACATAAAACCGGGCCTATACTAGAGATTTGGCTTTCACAGATGACAGCCTATTTTATGTAATCTTGATTAAGCTGTGTGTTAAGGGGCCTTTAAGACTGTTGGAGCATGAAAAGCTGGTCTGTGATCTATCCAGGCTTTGGGGATGGAAAATAAAATCTTGGAAATGAAATTTGCCCCAAGATAAGTTGATGGGAATGAGCAAAGGGTCTGTTTTGCATTGACTTAAGAATGGGGGCATGGAGCTTCCCACAGCTGTGCAAGTGAAAAGGTAAACCCACTGCTTGATGCCAACGGTTGTTGCAACTGCTGCCTTTTCCCCCATGTGACAAAGGTAAGCAGCATACTTTCAGATTGTTCCATTTCATTCCATGGAGCCTCCGCAGTTGTTTGTATTGCAAGGAGCAGAAGGGAGCTGAGTGACATGGAAGTGACAAGGGGGACACCATTCACCTGCTCCATCACCACTGCCTATATTGTAGTGTGGACTTCATGCTCTGTGAAGACTTGCATTGAGGTTATGGCAATATCCAGCTTTAGTCTGTTAAATCACAGAATGAGCTTTTGTTTGGATTGGAACCTTCCTGCTTTGCTCTGAGGGTAAGGGAAGTACTGATAGTTCTTCAGTGCCCTCCCAACAATTTTCCCGGGAAGGTTGGACAACTTCCCAAGTTAGCATAGCTGACCGGGAAGGAATTTCAGTACTGAGCTACACATACCTAATGGATGCAGTGAAAACATGATTTTGTGGGTAAGGCTCTGATGGGGCTATGCTCAAACAGCTAAAGAACAAGCCTTGGTCGCTGTGCTGGTCACCCAGGCTCTCTGTAATGAAGGAAGTGTGTCCCTCAGTTGCTTGCAGTTTCTAGTTATGGGACCAAAGCACTTGTAACAGAGTACCATAAATGACACTGTGTATGTTTTCAGATAAATGAGTACATGTGATAAAATCGGTGACACTTCTAGCTTTAGAAAAGACTTCCGTAATTGAGATATGAGGAGTAAATAATACTGACCTGGAAATTGTAGCAAATCAAGATGTGCTCTTTTGCTCCTGAAAAGATTTATTGATTGAGTTGGTTTTTGCTGTGTGGTCAATGCAATGTTTATCCCAACAAAAGGCTGAGTTCTGTTGCCTTCAAGATTTCTAGCAAAATTATTGGGATAAGAGTTAAGACTATTTTTTTGCAGACTTGCAGATTGGATACTGGACATTGTGAGCATCTTTGGTGTCTGAACCGTTATTTTCTAATATTGATTATTTTTCAAGGTAATTTGGTTTAAAAAAAGTTAAGCCAGGAAATTCCATGCATAGTTCAGAAGTAAGGGCACAAATCTCCCTTTAATTCTAATCTTCAGGCAATGTCTGCTATGCTGTCCTTGAAATCTGGTATACGACAGTCTCAGTGCTGATTTGGGGGGTATTTTAAACAGCCATTAGGTACTGTGATTTGAAGGTGAGTCCTTCTGGTATTTTGATGCCAAACTTTAATTTGGCTTTCTAACTAGGCCACAGTCTGAGAGCTGCTTTTGCAAAGGTGGAAAACAGGGTATGTTTGAAGAATTAATTTTAAAGCGGGGACCCTGGGGCAACAGCTGCCCTACTAAGTATTTATCCCTCGGTGAGCAGTTTGTTGCTGTTTGTTATCCTTTGCAGTCACTGAGGTCTTTCTCTCCTACCTGCCTGTGATTGAAAGGAAGAGTTTTGATCTTTTCTGTTGATCAGATCTTACATTTTGGGAGAAGCCTTATGACTTAGGATCTTTCCATCTTTCCATGGTGTTTACGGTTGAACATGGTGTCTTTGTGAACAGGGAAGACTAAAAATACTGTGGTGGTGTTCTGTTTTTATGCTGTCAGAAGAGTTTACGTACACCGGCAGACTGCTGCAGAGAACCTGCCTGCAGAGGCCAAAGAAGCAGAGAGTTGAGTAGCTGGCTGTGACCACCTGGGAAGGTCTAAACAAATACCACCTGTTGGGATTTCTCTGTGGAGACCTGGTGGCACCCAGCAGTTAGTCATCCTGGGAGCAACTGCATGAGACACAATGACCTGGGATACAGGCAGGGAGATTAAGTGATCCAACAGTCACCTGGCATTACGTGTTATGATTCTAAACCATCTCAACTCCTATATTTGATAAAGGAAGTCCAGTAGTTCCATTTCCTTCTTATTACTCTCTTATACTTCCTGCAAGTGCCCTTTTGGAATGGTGATGTTCCACGGTGGCCTCGATTCTTACTTAGATTATTTTTGTCGTTGTTTGTTTTGTTTTAATTCACTGTGACATAGCTGTGGGCACCTGCTGAAGCTGCCAAGATAGAATTGTTCCCTGCTGTCCATTTTTATCCAGCCTTCCTTCAAAAAAAGTTCTGTGCTCTTACTGTTTTTCTTCAGTGATTAGTCTGTGTACAAAATCTTTCCTAATATGCTTATGACCTTTTCTTCAACTGCAGGGTCAGTTACAGATAGAGAATACTTGTGTTATCTGACGGATAATGGCTTTCCAGTAGAAAAATTAAGGGGTAAACCGTGCAGTTCTTGTTGGTGTCTATCAGCCTTGTTTGTGTTTCCTCACACATTGCATCATTCCCCATTTCTGATGTATCAATCATCTCTTTATATGCAAGGAACTGAGTAAAATCTTGCCCTGTGGAAGTCAGTTGTGTTTTTGCTGTTCGCTAGAGTGAAGCATCAATTTCATGCAGCATGTGACAGGAGAGGGAGATACCTCACAAATAAGCAACGTTTCTGGATCCAGTGAATTTTTTTCGTGACCCTTTTGGTAATTGATGCTTTTATGAAAGGCTTTGGATGACTGAAATCTCTCATTTGAAAGAGAGGCGTCTCATTTGTTTGTCATTCTTCTACAATTTAACTTTGTTGCAGGCAAAAGCTTGAAAACGTAACAGGCATGCAGCTTAGAGGCTTAGAAAGGAAATGAAAATTTTACTTATTTTCTTTCTCATCTCATGGTCTGGTGCTTAATTTTTCTGAATGTGTGTGCCTGTTTTATAGCAGCTTCCAGTTATGGATCTCTAAGGTCTAACCTCCTTGCAGTGAAGGAGGAATTCCAGCAGCACTACAGCTATGGAAAGTATTATCACCCTGTATTACATGGAGACTTGTGAGCTACAGAGAGATTAGTTCTAAGAGTGAGCCTGAGGAAGACTTGCAAAACATTACCCTCAACTTTATTTCCTTCAACTTCACCAGTTACTCACGTTGTTGTTACATGAGTTGTATAAATGGAGACTTCTCATTATTAAGCACAGATATAGGTGCCTGTCCATCTGCTATTTATGATATATGTAGCCAGCAGTAACAGAGGAAGTATTGTTACCCACGTGGGTTTGTCAGAAACTTGGCATCTCCAAACAAAGTGGATTTAAAAGTAATTTAGCCTGGAAAAAGTTCGCAGACTAACTCCTTTTGGGCCTGCGCTGAGTAACTAACTAAAGAGCACAGCTTTGAACGTGAGCTCTTCTAAAAACTTGTCTGTAATGAAGCCTCTAAATGGGAGAGATCCCACAAAAATTGGCGGAGCCTAGATAGCTGAACTCTAGTGCTTTTGCTTGTAATAAAGTTTTAGATGCTGGGAAAGAGAGAGAAGTTCCGAACATTCTAACTTTCCCAATCTAGTTTATTTTCCTTTTTAAATACGAAAGATAGAGAAAAATTAAAATAAAGCAAAAGTTCCCTTGGTTCAGATTGAAATACTGAACTTCATTACAGATTTGATTAGTAAAACTTGCAGCGTACATCAGAGCAGGGTAACCTAGCTGTGGAATGGACATCTTAACTCCCAGCTATCTGAGGTGCACCCCAAGCCTCCGTCAGGCATCAGTGGAAATCTGTCAGTCTTGTTGACGGGGCTATAAGCAGCATTGTGCTAAAACATGGTGCTGTGCATGGTTGTTTGAGGGGTTGTTTAAAACAAAGAAACAATCAGACAGCCTCTCGTGCATTTTAGTGGTAAACAGATTAAGGAGTGTCTGGGTTTATCATGTAACCTCTGTATTCTTATCGAGCAGAGCACATTAGTGCATATATAATCCCAGGAACATCATTGACTTGGAAACTAGGCAAGAGAATTAAATGAAAACCTCTGGCTGAAAAGCCTTTCATAGTCATCTTTTCTGAGAGTACACCTTCCATATTTCCGGGAAGCCTCCAGTCCTATTCTGAATTTTGGATTGTTTTGTTTGAAAATCACATCCGGGTGATCCTATCTCTTTTCCTTATGTAGCATAGAAAAAAAAAATTGACAGGAGAATCTAACCCCAGATTAAAAAATAGTATACAACCCAGTATAATAAAATATACCGTCCAAGCTGAGCCTTAGAGACAGTTCATGGTATCTCAACGTTTTGCCACCATTCCTTTCTGTGTCTTATTGTAATATATCTTTGTAAGACACTTGCTTACGAGGCAGTGGGTTCTCATCAAGTCAGGTTAATGAGGTTTTACCACACTTTAATGGTTTCTCCAAATTATGCTGTAGTCTTGAAAAGCCAGCATACTGTTTGTGATGTAGGGCCCAACCTTAAAGCCAAGAGAAGGATTTTCCTTGACTTCAGGAGTGTAGGCATGTAGCCCAGATTCCGCTACGTACACTTGTGTACCACTGAAATCAGTTGGACGCTGGCATGTAACTATCTGGGAGGATTAGAATCTAAGGCCACAGCTGCATGACAAAATTGTATTTAGGCTGCCTTACTGTAATCTAATACTAGTTAACAAATTCTTAGCAAGATCTCAGACCATAGTTACCAGGAGTTGACTAGGATTTGTACTTGAGGTAATGAAAGTTCTAGCATCTCAAGTAATGGGCACCAAAACAGTCTGTGCACTCTGCAGCATCTAATAAGATTAAACGCTTTTGAAAAATCTCCAAGGTACACTAACATTGTTGTCTGGTGTTCTTAGTTAAGTTTGGATGAGTGTAAACAGATGCATGGTAAAGATCAGACAAGTTCCAAGAACTATTTTTGTTGATTTATCTTGAATTGATCATACGGTTTCTGTATTTTACGGGAGAGATATTTTTCCACTCTATAAATAAATTATTCTAATAATTTGTGATGAAGCTATGGAATAAATAAGTGAAATCAAACCACCAGTTTGCTCCATATTTCCCATGCACAAAAAGCAGAGACAAGTTACTACATGTATACAGTCTGTCTCTTTCCTTTTCTGTTATGTTCTGGTTTTTTTATACTTACCTGCAGTATAAAATCTTCTTCAGTATCTATCTTCAGTCTTTCTGTCTGGCTTTAAAAAACAACAAAACTTGTTTGGATTGAGCTTATAAGAATTTTGGATTATGTTTATAAGGGCACAGTACAGATTTTTTTCTTTATTAATTCATAAAATTTTTGGCCAATCTGGAAGTTAGGTATCTGTCTAGAATCAATTAAAACTTTTCCATGAACTTTGAGTTGGGGAATTTCACTCTACTTCTTGTATATGCTACTTCTTGGAAGCTACATTCTGTGAAGCAGTCTCTTCTTTCTTTAATTCCTGCAGCCAAAAATCACATAATTCCTCATGGTTTTTTGCAGGCTTATACATACAGACACACAGACCACCACCACCAAAATTCTTGGCCGATTGTTTTGGAATTATATTGGCAAATGTTATGGGAAAAAATGGTGCTTTTCCTGGAAAAATCCTTACAGAAGTTGCAGGTTATAATGAGGCTGTAAAGTTCTAGGATCATACTTACTTTATGTAACGCTTTTACAATATGTTATCAGAATGAAATTTTTTCTGTGAGAAACAGAAAAAAACCTGCAGAGCATTAAGCATTTTGTGCGCTCTCAATCAATCTCTCCACTGTTGTGTGGAGTCTTCTGTTCATCATCTCCTCAGTGGGTGAGGATACTTTTACCTAACAGAAGTGGAAGACCCCTCCTGGGTGCACGGGGTCTGCAAGGACAAGTATGTGAAGATGGATTCCTGCATTGCCAGTGCTCAGTTTGCAGGTTTGGCTCTAGGGGACAGATAATTGTCCCATCTTGTATTGCAGTCAGCAGCACAAGGGGGATCTGTTCTTGGCAGGTGTTTAGCAATGTTCTTCTAACTTTTGCTGTTGTTTGAAATTTAGCTTTTGTGTCTGTTGTCTGTTCTGACAGAGTGTAGACCTGGATGACCACCACAAGCCTGAATTTAGACGAGTTTTTAGTTCTTCCATCATTGAAAATGGGCATCAGTCTTCATCAGGTAGGAACATGGCATGAAATGAAGTAGCAGTAAAATACCTGATCCTGGCAGTCTCACATGCTGAAAGCATTAAAATCTGCTGTGGTTTCAGCTTGGATGTTCCACTGCGGCACTGATACTGTTTAACTTTATTTCATAATTAGGAGTTTAACTTTTTAACTTTTAAACTTTATTGTTAACGATGCACTGTGGTGTTTCATAAATTGGAGACTATTACTGTCATGTTACCTTGGGGCAGTAATGATAGTAAAGCCTGCTATTCTGGTTGACATTGTAGCTTTGCATCCCAAAACATTTTGCATATTACCTGTCTGCTTCCCTCATCCTTCAGTTGCCTTCTCCTTTCTAGAGAAAACTGAGGCACACAGTGTTTCATAAAACCATTTAAAGAACCAGAATGCTGACTCCTAACCCATGGCAGGAAACCAGGAGCAGGGGCTCCACAGAGGAAGAAGTTTACCAAATGCAGATGCTAGCGGATTAATGATCTGAAGTTGCTCTTGCTGAGATTAGTGTAGGACAGGTGTGATCGCTGCAAGGATCACTTACACCAGGGTTGCTTCTGCAGCATGCTGTAAATGGTATAATGTCCTCAGGGACAGCTAGGCGGAGAAATGCCATTGACTTGTAAAATAAAGTTGTTGCATGAAATCGGCTTGTAACTTTGTCACAAATCTGCAAATAAATTTACTTCCTCTCTCCTTTTCTCTTTATTTGCTAGGTCAGGCAAAAGTCTCCCATGAACTGGCCTCTTTTGACACGTCAGACTCTTCCCCTGAGGCCCATGCCCCTGCAGTTGCCTTGCAGATGCCCCACCTCCCCGTTACTGCAGTCACCAGGGTATCAGAGAAGTTTTCAGGAGAGACAGTCTGTCTAACAGGAACAACTAGTGCGTCTGTGGGCCTGCAGGGACAGAGCAAGAGCAAAAATGCGATGGCAGTGAAAACTTCCAACCAGTCAGGTAAAAGAGACTAAAATAATTTGTTTGCTGAAGCTGTGAACCATTTCTTTACTGCAAGCAACTGGCACTACAGGGATTGTCCCATAACCTAGTGGTAATTAGGAAACCTCACTTCTATGGCTGCATATCCCATGGTGGGACACTCTGATTTAGAATATTGTGGCTGCTAGGTGGAGCTTTAGGCTGTAATGTCACATCTGCCTAGAATTTTTGCTGCCTAGTTGAGTTCATAGTGCAGCCTATCTTCTAGTACAGTTACTGAAAAAGAATCTCTTCAATGTGGCCAGCTATTCTAATGAAATTTGCAGGAGTTTATAGCGCTTTGAGACCTGAGGCCCCTTCAGAAGTTTGGCAGATATTTGGGTAACAGGTTCAATAGTCATTTGGAGAGAGGAATGACCGACAGCAGACTGACACGTGTACATGAGTCAGAGTGATTGCAGAATCTTATTTATATCCAAATTGAGGGTCCGTTTCTTTTTTAAAAAAAAGAAATATAATTTCATTCCTATTGAAGTAATTAATCTTTGAGCTGTATTTCATATACATTTAGTGATAGTGACACTTACAGATCAGATTATGTATATGAGTCAGAAATTACAGAAAGAGCAGATAGGGATTATATGCAGGTTATTGTTTCAACTTTAATAAGATAAAAGTTAAGAACGTAGCAAAGCCTTCCTTTGTCTTTTTTTCTGCTGTTCAGTGAAGGCCTGGAATTCAAGTACTGTGCGAACAATGGATTCATCTGCCCCTGGAGGTGAGTGCTCCTGTCAGCGTGTCCTCATGCAACACAAATTGAGAGGGATTCCATGCTGCATGTCCGGAGCGTTCAGATCTGAGCATGTAGTTCTGAGTAGTAGATACATGGTGATATTAAAATTGCTAACAAAACTGCGTGCAGATCGGGTTTCCCAGGTATCATGAAAACTTGTTCCACTGTATCAGATTCTCAGTCAGTTCAAAGCGAAGGGTACTGCTATGGTTTGAGAGAACCCATAAAAATGTATTGTCGTTTAGACAATTATTGTATCACCCGATGACCACTCTCCACCTGGAAGGGCGAATGGGGGAACACAAGGAAGCACGAGAGTTGAAATATAAATAGATCTAATAGGATAAGACTAAAGAACCAGTATTAAATCCAATACTAATATAAGATACACAAGATTTATACTTGGCCAATTCTATCAGTAGGCAGCTGTGCTCTCCCAGCAGTGGACAGCAAATGTGGGACACTGCGAGCACAACGACTCTGGAAGGAAGGGCTCAGGGGTCGGCACCAGGCAAAGGAGTTCTCTGGACTACTGCCATCAAGGGAGAGAGAGACTATGCAGCAAAATTTCTAATTTATATTGAATGTGATGTTCATGGTATGAAATAATCCTGTTGGCAGCTTGGGTCAAGTGCCCAGATCTCGCTCCTCCTCATCCCTGCACCTGGTGAGGCTCAAAACCACCAAGACCTTGAACCCCATATGGCATAGCTGGCTATAGAGTAAATATTTTCACGAATTCAAAGACCAGAGTCTTCCAAAAGTGGAGTTTTCCCAAGTATTAGAAGAGAAATTAGTCCTGCGCCGCTCAACCCAGGACAGGTACTTATCCCTCTTTGCATATGGCGTACATGTGTACGGTTAGGCAATCTCTGCAGTGGAAACAATAAGTGCCAGAAAAGTGTGACAGAACAGACAGTCTGAGCGGTCAGGATTTCAGTTGACCAAGTGAAAACTGTGACTGAACACAAGGTAATGGCAGTTGGAAAGTGGATGTTGAAGAACATTCCTTTGAGCAGAATAGCAGTAAGTAGTCCCCTTCATATATGAGTTTGCCAAAGGGCAAAATGCCTTAAGGATTTTCTATTCCAGTCAAAATAGATGAGCCTTCAATAAATGAGTTGCTGGCTTATGCAACAAGTTTTGGCTTTAGTGTGTCAAAACTGGGCAAGCCACTTTGTTTTTCTGCATTTACAAAGCATAGCTGGAGTCCAGAGCTGGGCTTTTAAGAGGCAAAGCACAAAAGGTAGAACCTTGGGTGGGAGGAGGAAGATGCAAAGTTGTTTTTAAGCCACAAGTCTGTTCTGCTCTACAAACTAGAACTTTTCCTGGTGGAAATTAGGCAATTTAAATTATGCTATCAATCATGGCAGACTTCCCAGGACTCCTTATGTCTGCCAGAATGACTGCTGCAAGCTGAGCTGTAGCATCATTTCTTCCTTTCACTGAAATGTCCATGGCAGCGTGCCCTCCTCTGAGGTCGCATGAGGGCCTGAAATGATCCAAAAGCAGTTTTATCAAAGGCATCCTGTCACTGCCCTTTCTGGTATGTTTACACTGTCCTCGCTTCAGTGCAGCAATTTTGCAGAGGGGTTGAACCCCTGGGGAAAAATCCCTCCCCAGGTTGTTAGTGCATAGGGGAAGTTAGACAGATCCCTGCAGCGTTTCACTGTGGTGAGTAAAAGTCAATGCATGGCTATCTATCAGGAAACGGTTTGAAAACATATGAGGAAAGGAGATAAAAGAAGTTTCTGTCCTGATGCATCTTGTTTTTACTGCTTTTATACAGAGAATATCACTTCTGTCACTAAATCTGTGTCAACTGAGAGCTGTGAGGCGAGTAGTGGAACTAAAACTGTTGAAAGGTATGCATTTTTCTTGACGTTTTGGTAGGCTGTTGGGGTCAGTATAGTCTCAAGGGACAAGGTTCTGCTGGTTTGGAGAACAGGCGAGTCCCACGTGCTATATTTTAAGCTTGTTAAAGGTTGTGAGCTTCCCTGAGTGCCAAGTGGAACAGAGATGAGAAGGAATAAAAATCTTTTGCAGAGCAGTTTAAAGCAGACCTAACTGTGGATTTCAGCACTGTTACAGTGTCAGTAAAAGTCTCGGTGCCAGTGGTGGATTGTTGTTAGGAGGAGCAAATCGTCGGGCCCTTTGAAAACACTTTCAAAAATACTCAGCTGTGTTGAAATTTGTACTTTGGGCTTATTTTTGGAAACCAACATGTGACTGCTGTCAAATATCCTTAGTTTGGCTCGCCTAGAGTTTAGTTTGTACATAAATGACTTGCTGAGGACTACTACACATTCTTGATTAACTCGGAGTTGCAGTTGCTTAGTACGGGATTACATGGAGTCACAATTGCTATTGGCATATCCAGGCATCCTCAGCATGCAAATTATCTGTCAAGAAAAATGGGAGGGCAGCCAATTTGAAATCTCTTAAATTGGGCTTGCATCTGCCCTGTAAATTATCCCAAGTTTGGCATTACATTTCTTCCGAGTTAGTGCCAACACCAGCACTTCGATACTTGAGGCATGATATGCTGAGCACCCAAGAGAACTTGCTGTCGGATCTGACCTCCATCTCTACCAGGAAATAATGTGTGACACTGATGTCATTGTGCTCTGCCTCAGTTTCCCCGTCTCTGTTATGGGGAACATTTCCAAATGTGTGACTTACTTCATTACTGCTGACAGAGTGGTTTATGGCTCAAATAAATACAAATTAGAATATAATTCTATATTTCTTGATCAAATTACTAGCTCGTGGTCTGTCAAGCAACACTGACATGAGCTCAGGATTCTGTGTACTGTTAGTAAAAACTTCAGAAGTACTTCCTGAGTTACTCTTAAAATTTCATTTTTAAAAACTGTCCAGGAACCCCAGATTTGGAAATTAAAGGTATTTAGTGCTCTTGTGTGACCACAACTTTTTTTTCTTTTTTCTTAAAGGTGTTTAATTGTTGTTCTACTCAGTGCTACAAAGCACTTGTGGCTTGCCCAGCCATGTCTCATTTGTGAAAGTACCTTAAACTCTTCTATAATTAGGTGCTAGTTTCTGTCAATAAAACATTGACTTTTACTTAAATTGCTTTTGACTCATTCAGGTCCTCTAGAAATGACTGGTTTGGGAGGTTTAGAGTAGGCAACAGGTAGACCTTTATGCTGACTCCTGGCACCGCAGAGTTACTTTTTTGTTTAACCATGCACTTTCCGTGTTGTGTTTCTACAGTGCCACTGACAGTTACTGTGATGTGACACCCAGCACTCGCTCCTCTCCTCCCGCTGGACGTCGCCAAGTTGAAAGGAGGCGAGAACTGGTGCGGTCTCAGACGCTCCCACGGACCTCAGGAGCACAGGCCAGGAAAGCGCTTTTAGAGAAATTTGACCATGATAGTGGAAAGTATGTCACACCCTTTGTCTCCCACATGGGTTTGTTAATGGGAAAGTAATCTGTCAATTATTACCAGCAGAGGACAGCTGGGTGGGAGGACTCTCTCAATGTAGAATTTTGAGCTAAGGGACAATATGAGGTCACGTATAGCTTCAATGTCTTCACAGACTGAGCCCTGGGAATTCACAGCTACATATTCCTCTGGCTTCAGAGTTGGTCAGCTGAAGAAGCAGGTGCTTCTTGTCAGGTGCTCTTGTCAGGAAAGTGCTGTGAAAGCTACCTTCTGAGTCATTCTTAGAGACTTGGGATATTGTGACTTTCTGTTGCCATTCATTAAGGACCAAAAGCGTGGACTGCTCTTTATGCACCATGATGGGGGTACGATTTAAATAGAAGAGGGCTTAGGATCCTGGCTTTAGTGAAATGAAAATGAGCTTTTCTTGCAGAACCAACAAGTTGAAGTTTCAGCAACGTGTTTCTCAGATATTACCTGGACAAGGGCTGACCTGGGCAAAGTTGCATAGATGTTGCTAACAAGTAGGTGTAAGTTTTTCTAGAATGTAATTTAATCTGGTTTCTGTTAATTTTCCAGAGGAAAAGGAGAATCCAGAGCTAAACTGAAGAGGTCGCAGAGTTTTGGGGTTGCCAGCGCTAGCAGCATTAAACAAATTCTGTTAGACTGGTGTCGCTCAAAAACCATAGGATACAAGGTGAAGACATGTTAGCACTCTCAGCGCTCTCTTTTTCAGGAGAATTTGCCAAAAAAGCGTACTCAAAGAAGTGCATATAAAACACACTAGATAATGAGTTAACTTCCTGAAGGTCATCAAGTTTGCGGGTAACGCAAAAATCATGGTTTGCATGGGCAGCACATCAAGACAGACAGTGATTGCATGAGTGAGATTCTAGGTGTCCATCACAACAGTGTATTAGTGTTTGTCTGAAAAGCCTACCTTTTTTCTGCTTACAGATAGAGACTTCAGTATATGCTCGTACATTTTTGTTTCTTGTGATTTTTGCATTCTCATTATATATGGCAAGATCTGAATAATATTTTGCGAGTATGTGGAGACTATGGCCCTTTTGCTACACAGTAGACTGGAAAACTCTCTATTGGTATTAGACAAGTGAGTTTGTAGTAAATGGTTGAGGTTGAAACATATGGTGTTAGTGAGCTAATTTCTATGAGGTACCATCAGTGTAGCTAAAAGAATTCAGCAGTTGAGATTTTAGTAATTTTACCTGGCCTTAACCTGCAATTGCCAAAGCAGGAGAAAGGAAATGTTTTTTTTCTAAGTGGTTTTTTTTGTGTGTAATGTTTATCAGTATTATTATAAAGTGTGTATTATTATTGCTGAACTCTAAACTACAGTACACATAAGCAGAACTAGTGAGGATTATTGTTAGTTGCTTCCCAGTAAAGCTAGGGTTTGAATTTTATGTGATGGGAAAGCAGCATGAGACAAGGGCCCAAATATGTTTCTTTTCACTGTGGCAGTTGAAATTACAAATAAGCGTTTATTCTAAGAGTGAGGTTTTGCAGTAGGCATAATTCTTCCTATATTTCTACCTATCTGTATGTAAACAGGCCTTGAATTGGGCCTTACTGAAAAGCAAAGCAAGCAAGCATAGTCTTTATCTGGTGTTACTCACCGCCACACAGTGAGCTGTTCTTCAGTTATAAATATTCACAGGGATAAGCAGTGTCCTTGGTCTCTGCAGATACCAAGCCGGTGCGTTGGGGCTACTCCAGAGCTCGCGGATGGTGACAAGATTCTTCCTAGTGTTGTCAGTTGGCTTTGTATCAGGGGTCGTGACTGTGTGTCTGCTTTGCATCTGGGCATTTCAGACAAAAGGCTTTTATTGCTGAGCACACCGCTTTTTCTCAGGATACAAATAATGTAATGGATATACAAAGAGGGGAAGGAACACATAAAACCTGTGCTGTGCTGCTTTGGTTAGTGAAGGACAGGAAACTGCAGGGAGCAAAATCAGCTGCTCTTCCCCGTTCCCCTGAGCTGTGTTAACATGTGTGGTTTTTTTCATCATGACAGCACGTTGATCTCCAGAACTTCTCTTCAAGCTGGAATGATGGGATGGCATTCTGTGCTCTTGTGCATTCTTTCTTTCCTGAAGCTTTTGATTATAATGAGCTTGACCCAGCTAATCGCAAGCAGAACTTTGAGCTGGCCTTCACCATGGCTGAGTGAGTATTACATTAGATGTCCATGAAGTGCTTCCAGTTCAAGTCTAAAGCGGCTGGGCAGCAGCAAAATGTTTAGTGATTCTTCTTGTAGATCCAATATCACTATCACGATCATGCCAAAAAAGATAATAAAGCTCTGCACAGAGAATGCATAGAACAGGAGACTCAGCAGCTTAAAATCAGAGTTGGTTTTGCCACGCACAGGGTAATTAACTGGACTCCTCCTGTGTTCAGGCCATTCACAGTCTGCAGGCAATACTTGAATTCTGCTTTCTCCCCTCTGTGATTCTCACCAGCCTTAGCACTGACACACTAAACTTGAGAAATCAGCCTTGTGAGTTCTGCTTGGATGGAAGAAGAAAAAAACCTTGCTTCTCTCTGTGTGTTCTTTGGGGTTTTTTTATTATTTTATTCTTGAAGTAATGAATGATTCTTAATGAATTTGCTGATATCAATCATAAAAAAGGAATTTGAGTTCATAGAGCACAAGGCATCCAGTGTTTACTGACAGTCCATAGAAACTGGACATACAGCTTCTTGTTTCTGATGTTTCTGTGTTGCTGATAAACCTCAGGATTTCTGAAATACCTCGGTGATGCTCAAATCAGAGTAGCAAATGAAGGAAATGAGTCTTAGAAGTAGTTACAGGCCTTACATTTAACTCTTGATTTGCTGTACCTGTTTTATTATTACTACAGGAAAATGGCTCACTGCGATCGTCTGATAGAAGTGGATGACATGATGATGATGGGTCTCAAGCCAGATCCCATGTGTGTCTTCACCTATGTTCAGTCTCTGTACAATCATCTACGATGCTTTGAATAAAACCACCGACATCTCTCCAGCCAGAAGGGTCAAGTACAGCATGCTGATGAGAAGAGCAACATTTTGCAAATGGAACACAGTGTTATTTCTTGCTTTTTACTGTCCTTTTGCTTACATTCACCTGTGTGGCCGGCTGGCTGAAGTGTTGCAGAGCAGTGCCCCGAAGTGTTGATCACATCAGCATGGTAGAAATACAGAAATATGTTTGAAAAAGACTGGAAAAAAAAAAAAAATAGGGAAAGGTAAATGCTGTCATTTTGGTGCTAGTATTAGGTTGGATTTTTAATATTCTTGTGTTTAAAGATCACAGGAAGCTAATTTGCTGTTCTTATCTCTGTTAGGCAGGGGACAGAGTTTTATGCAGTGACAGGTAACTCTGCTACGAAGGTGTTTCCTCTTAAAATGCAGGTAAAACTCCAAAGATGGCACCTTCAGTCTCACTTTGCTGTTCAGCATAGCACAAAAGAAATAGCAGATGGACAAGGAAAATTCCATTTAGCAAATAATAGCATACTCAACCACTAGGGTGATCCTCTGTCCCTACCCCCTGCTCCAGCGTACACACACACACATCCAGCAGACATTGCTTTGTTCTCTTAGAGCAGAAGGAGAACATCAGTTCTTACCTGATGACTGGGGCAACAGAACTACCATGTTATACAACAGCATTTCTCTGTAACGGCCACATCTGAAGAGATTTGCTTGGAAACTTGCCAAAGCCTATGCTGGCTGTCCTGGATTAATTTCTTGATCACAAAAAAACAGCAACAGGTAGGGCTGCTGCATGTATGAGACTGTGTGTTTGTGTGATTTAGGATTACAGGAAAGGGGGGAATGAGCAAGGTACAAAATCCTTGAGCAGTGTTAACAGAAGCAGGACTCCAGCACACTTTGACCTGGACTCCCGGGGAGAGCAGCTTTCTGGTAGGGACAGGAATGAAGCCTTGCTCAGTCCTCATGCTGACTCCAAGGTGAACAGGCAATATGCCAAAAAAAATATGAAAGATGTGGGAGTTTTGAAGTGCCTTGGACTAGTTTCTGTTTTCAGTTAAATTAGCATAAAAACCACAATACAGTGGGATTACTCCAGATTTACTGGACAAAAAGGTCATGTGTTGCCCCTTCTGGTTTTCTCCTTCATGAATCAACAGAGCTTTGTTTTCACAGTGAATGTTAAAACCACTAAAAAACTTACTTAAAAAAAAAAAAGCCTTTTAAAATTATTTATTCCCAAAGAACAGGCTCATAGAAAGTAAAAACTGAAAGCCACGAGCCCTCTGCTCATGCCAGAGAATGTTTTTTAGCCTGCATTTGTGCTTTTTGTAGATATTTATAAAGACGACTTTTGTTCTGTATTGATGACCATTTATAATAAAATCTGTCAAGCGTTCTTCAGATTGATTGTTTCTCTGTGACAAGTAAGAAGGTAAAACCAGTGAAAATAACCCAGAGCTTTTGCTTAAAATATTATTATTGTTCTAGTCATGGTGCTGTGTACTCAGAATTTCAGTTTAAGAAAGTACAGAAGTTCAGTGGCATTTGGAATAAGATTTTAGTTCAGCCTGCCCTTCTAGTGAAGTTTACTAAAGAAACCACAAATGAAACAACCACTTTGTTAGCAGTCTCAGGAAAAAAAAAAACCCGAACATCAAAAGTGTAGAAAAGTGAAGTATAAGATAAATGCTGAAGGTCTGGATCACCACATTCTGTTTGAAGTGTAGCTCGGCTATGACGCTATGGGAACAGTTGGGAAGACTTTCGAATATATTTACATACGTATATACTTATAGGTATCTACAAGATACTTGGTCAAACTAGCAGGATCCTTGGCATTGCTAATCTCCCAGCTTCTGTGTGGGTGGACAGAGGTTGGGTGGGCTGTTTGCATTTGTCGTGTGAGCGCTGTTGTCTTCAGTTTTTGACTTCATCTTGAATGACTGTAATTCTGAGGATTAAGTGCGTACCTGTTGCTCCACCAAATGCACTGTAAGGATGAACACACTGCACTTGGGTTTCGGAGAAGTGATCAGAGCATGATGAGAAACCTTTCCACAACTGGCATATGCGATACACATATTTACGTTCTGACAGCAGAATACTTTTCATTGACTAGCAGAGCCAAGCTGCATCGTAGCTACGAGAGGGACAATACTGCCTTCACAGTCCCGGGTCGTGGATGATTTTCATGTGTGATCTGATGCTAAAGACATGGGTAAGTGCTTGGCCAATGCAGGCCTAGTAGCAAATAATTATATAAAGGAAATTTTAGACAGTAAAATTATTGCCAATTCACCAGGGGAGTTTACATCCTTTCTATAATTTAGTTTGTTTTCACAGCTACCCAGAAGCTATTTGTACAGGTTTTCTAAAATCTTCCCACTTCAGAGAGGTGATGGTAAAATACCTGATCTAAACTACATCAGGGATGTACAGAGGTGGGTAACCCTACCATCTGATGTAACACTCTCCTGTCTCCTTCATTTCTTCTGTCTGGCTCCTAATCTCTTTTGTCCCAGGAAAGAATATAGTTGCCATAAAGATGGAGCGTGCTGCTAAGGCTGTTGTATGACTGCCATTTTAGATCGCTAGGTACCTAACACACCTTTCATTTGCTTTCACGATCTTTATGCACTGCTGCAATAAATCTATCAAAAATTACCGTCCGAAGCTGCAGGACCGAGCTCAGGTCATGTTACGAAGAAAACCTTTTTACTTCTAGACAGATCTCACCGGGGAAGAGGGGACGGGCAGCAGCATCCCTCACCGGAGCCCCCGGCCGGCGGCAGCGCCGCTGCTGCCGTTCCCATGGCAACCGGTTTGTTTGCCGCCGTCACCTGCCTGGGCCGGTTCATTGCGCCTTTCACGGGAAATACCGGCTGCTGCTGCGGGAGCGAAGGGGCTCCCGCCGCGGGAAACGGCGGCCGTAGCTCTTGGCCAGGGCTGGAGCTCGGGCGCTGGCTAGGCCGAGCCAGCGTCGGCCAAGAGGTGTGCGGGGGGGCCGGGGGGCTGGGGGCCCCTGCGCTGGGCTGGGGGCCAAGCTGTGCGGGTCTGGGTGCGGGGCTGCCTCAGGAGGGCGGGGGGAGCACAGTGCAAGAATCGGAAACGGATAATCAAACTGCTGTGACTTTGCGTATATTTTGGGTGTTGGTCACCCCACATTAAACCAGGGTGCTTTGTTCTGCTTTAGCCCTTCCAAGGCTTTCCCATTTCCTCATTTATTTGCTGTATTTCCTCCTTCAGCTTTTCCTGTTTTCCAGGTCCTCTTTTCTCTCTCTTTTTTTTTTTTCTAATGACCATTACATTTCTTTTTTACACCCTAGAGTTCACCCACCTCTCTAGCCATATTCTTAAAAGGTGTTTACTTCTCCAACCTGGGGGATACTATTTATCTTTAATGTTTGTTCAGTTCTTCTCATTTTTCTGTGACTGTGCATTAATAACTCTATCCTTCCTCACCAGTTTCATTTTCTTTCCCTTCTCTCTCCTATCAGAGACAGCCCATCTCCTCAGTTCCACTTTCAAACCTGTTTCTCTCCTCCTAGCTTCCATTCCCAAATTCTTCTGTTTCTTCATTCTCCTACAGCAAACCCTCTCCCCCACACCTTAGCAAAGTTTTGGAACCTTGAGCAAAAAGTCCTTTATTTTCATACCTGTGTCATTTTCAGGTAAAAGGGGCAAGAATTTTTCTCACCCTCATGGACCTTCTCACCATTCTTCCCTTTTTCCTTCTGCAACCAAATATAATGCTATTCCTATTTTCAGGTGCACATTCCGAGAACTAACCTGAGTTATATCCAGAAACCTTCCAAAAAACAATGGCCAGGCTACTGCAAGCTCCACCCAAGTTTCATCCCTCAGAATGGGACATTGCAAACAAGATGCAGAGTGCCAGCACGGAGTCTCAGAAATCCAGGTCGGAACGCGTGACAGCTGAGAGCCGGAGGCTGCTGGATGAGATAGAAAAGACAACACAGAAAACCCAAAGTGATGTCAACAAGAAAATAGGTAATTCCACGTATTCTGCAAGTGTCAAAATGTGTTATTTGAGCTATATGTTTAAGATGGACTTGGAAAATTAGTTGCTAGTGAATAGTAATATATGTCAATGCCATGCTCTTTGATAGAAAAAAAAAAAATTTTTTTTAAATGTTTAGAGGAAGATTCTTTATCTTATAACAAATTAATTACTTCTCCAAAACACACAGAAAGCTATTTTAACCAAACCTGACACAGAGTTGCCAAGCTGCCTCCACATATCAGTCTCCAGCACCACATACACTCCGCTGTAGAATAAGTCTGGTTTTAGCCGTATCTAAGATCTGACCCACAGTGCTCTGATATGTAAGATGGGCTGGTATTAATACATGTTTGCAATTTTTGTTCTGCAGAACAGAGACAGGAAGAAATAAAATTCTGGAAGCAAGAATTAGATAACAAACTTGAACAAATTTTTCATGAGACAGAGGTACTGTTGACTTTCAAGACTAGGCTGGAGAAATCTTTGGAGAGCTGTAAAGAGCCACTCGACATTGCCCAAAAGTGTCTCCTATACAGGTGAGAAGATGAAGAAGAAAAGCATTTAGGGGGAGAAAAAAAATCTAGGTAATGAACCTTTAACAAATACTAAAAAAGGCTGCAAACTAAGGACCTGCCTCTCTTTTTGATCAGTCACAGTCTGATATAGGTGTTGTAACACTGGGGAACCAAGGCCATAAAGGAAAAGCTTTCCATGTGACAAGGAAAAGCTTTCAATTTGGAAAGCTGGTCTTCATCATCTTCTGCTTGCTGCAAGCATTTGGTCAATGTGGCTGATGGCTTTTCCTCTTTTTGTTTAGGCAGAGGCGAGCTGGGATTGACTTGGTACATGACAACGTAGAACAGGAACTGCTGAAGGAAGCTGAAGTCCTCCAGGGGGTTATTGCTTTGCTTGAGCGTACACTGGAACAAACCAATGAACAAATCAGGTGCAGAGGCGAAGAGTGTAACTGAACACTGATTAGCTAAAAAGTAGGATAGCCATAGTCCTGAGAAGTTGTGGGGTCAGGCTGTGCATAGGCCCTGTTGGCTGCGCACAGGCTGCGCAAGGTTTCCTTCACTGTTAAACAGTTACTGAAGGTCAGTCCTAATTCATACCATTCAACCAGTAATGGTGAGAAGTTCCACTCTTTACAACTCAAAGTACTTGCACGCGATTCCTGGTCTTCTCATGATACAGTCCCGTGCCTTTAATTCTACTGGGAATTGTACCATCAATTTATATGGCGGCAGCTTCACGCTCTAGATTTTGGGACTTTGCAATTAACAGTTCATACATGAAGAATTCCATAACAGCATTTGTATTACCTAATGTACGTGTGTATGCATGTTACGGACACCTGTGAGCGCCTACGCTTTGGCTTAGAGTCCGGTTGTTTCTCCTAGACTAAACCGTTCAGCAAAATACAGCCTGGAAATGGACCTGAAGGACAAGTTCACAGCTTTGATGATTGATAATTACTGTGCTAGCTTGACAAACAACACTCCTGATATCAGATACACTGATCATACAGTGAAAATAGAAGGAACGTAAGTGGTTATTTACTTCAATGAACATGATAAACATAGAACTAGTATAAGCGGTTCCAGTAATAGCGAGATTGAAGTAATTTTGTATAAAACATGCTATATCTTTCCATCATCTGTTTGTTGTAGATTGTTTCTTATACTTCTGTCCATCACTAGTATCTGTGTAATGAGTTTGTGAAATAAGACACAATAACCGTGTTCCCAGTGAACTGCAATTAGTTTTTGAGGCTCAGAGTTAGTTAAGGAAAAATTTCTCTTGTTTAAATGCAGAGTAGATTTAACAATCTGATTTCCTCTCCTTGAGTGTCCCAGTGGGGAGAGTGCTGGGCTGGGACATGTGAGGTGTGGAGTCAGTGTCTAACTCAGTCATTAACCTGCCAAATGCACCTCTTCTGTGTGCATTAGTTAGTGTGAGAGGCTTAGACAAAGAAAATGCTACCACAGAAAAAAGGGCTGAAAAGGAGAAGCATACTGAGAAAGCAATGTGTGTGAGTGTCCCAAGGACACTACTGGCTCTGTGAGAAGTGACCAACGGGGAGCACAGAGAGACCAGCAGGTCTTGCTGCCAGCAGGAGAGCATCAACGACAGGCTGCAACTCAGACCGCACCCATGTTGGCTGCTACATGCAAATGACAATTAGCGCTCTATACACCCGCCCAGTGAAACAAGAAACCCTTTGAGGAACTTTCCAAAGACCTGCCTGCAAGTCCCTGGTGCACAGTGTGACCCTGTCAGGGATGCAGGGATGGGGGGTGGCTTCCCAACTATTGCTCCAACTGGGCTCTGCACGGGACTGTCTTACAGGGCTGTGAGAGACCAAGTGAAAGTTTTGTGTGAATAGTTACTGCTATTAATAGAAACAGCTGAATTATAGTAGTAATAACAGCTTAATTAATGAAAGGTGTTCCAAGAGATACTGTTTATTATCTGTGTTTCCCCCACAGCAACTTAATCTCTTATCAGAGAAGGGAACATTACAACAAAGTTGCTCTGTGACTTTATCAACTTTGTTTCCATCCTACCCTTTTCTGTGCAGTTAATAATGTGCTGCTTTGTTCTTGGTTTTGTGGAGCAGTTACAGATTTATGAAGTCACAGAGGGTCTCATGCTACCAGCTGATAACCTTTTATTTGGATCTTTTTCAGTTTTGTTAGCCCTGAAGACTGGATAGATTTCTCAAACATAAATGTCGAAAAGGCTGAAAAGCAGAGAAACAATTCTTTGGTGCTGAGGACGCTGATTGATGGCATTCTGTCACAGACGGCGAGTGACATGCGCCGGCAGCGTGAGGCAGTGAATGTGGCCTTTAGGAACAGGGTGAAGGAAGTCAGGGATGCTAAGCACCAGCTGGAGAGGCTCCTCGCGATGGTGAGCGGCAGGGGACAGTCAGTGAAAAGGGGGACACAATGGGCTTGGCTTATCTACCCATTTTTGCAACCCAGTGTCTTGAGCTATTTCACTTTAAGAATTTTCCCTTTGCAATACTGGCAACACCTGCCACATTTTCCTCTTCATCCCCCCAAAAATGTAACTTTAGATGTTATTTTCTCACCACTAGAGAGGTAAATTTCTGGAATCACTGACTTGATGTAAGTGTTGCTGTAGACATCAGTAAAGTCAGGATTTCTCTTGTGACTTTTAATTACATGCCGCTCGTATATAATTTTCACGACTGCGAGTAAGAGCCTTATAAAAGACTTATAAAATCAGGGTCAATGTGCTCAAAATCTGATACATGAAAACAAAATGTTAATGTTACAAAGTAATTGCTGAGCGTCAATCTCCAGTTTCACTCAGAACAGTGTCACCTACTTTCCAAGGAAGGACTTGTAATCCTGACTCACCTTTGTAAAATGTTGTTTGATGAAATAACATCCTAACATAATGAGTATTACTGTGACAGTTGTTACTATAACAAAGAAGATTTGGATGACTTCACCCATTGTAAAAGACAGCATGCAACACCTCCTTCTGTTGGATTTGTTAAGGTGATGGATGAGACTGCCTCACAAGAGAAGAACATTGCAGCCTTAAAGAAATCAATTGCTGATAAAGAAGGACCTGTTAAAGTGGCTCAAACTCGCTTAGAAGCAAGAAACCATCGGCCCAATGTGGAATTGTGTTATGACACAGTGCAATACAGGCTGACTAGTGAAGTTCAAGAGATCACAAAAAATATTGAGAGGCAAGTGGAAATGATGAAAGAGTGGAAAATCTGTGGTATAGATTACTGGTTAATTTAATGAGTCAAAGTAACATTGGGTCCCAGCTATTCTCCCTGAAAGGTTGGGAATTGCTTTTCCCTTAAGGGCAGGACACTTTAAAGGAAGCAGCATGGATATTGTCTTTCTTCCCCTTTCATCTTTTTTTTCACTCATAGTTATTATCCCATATGAAAAAAAAAAAAAAAAACAAAAACAACCCTATTCATGTATTTTAAACTAATGTCTGTCTGTATTTTTCCTGTTAGGTTAAAGGACACACTGGCACAGGCTGAGTCAGAGCTGAAAGGTCTGAGTCGCCGACAGCTTTCCTTGGAGGAGGAGATCCGGGTGAAGGAGAATACATTGTACATTGATGAGGTGCTCTGCATGCAAATGAGAGAGTCTGCTCACATTAACAACTTCTGAAGCCATAGTACTTGGAGATCATGTGTGCTCCAAAGAGCCAGTTCCTGCTGAAATTTTATTGACAAACCTCCAGATTTATTGGTTTGGCTCAATGCTGTCCTGGTTCCAGTTGTGCAAGGTAATTAAAACTGACTTAGTACTTAAAACTGTCTGTTTCACAGCTATCTATGCTCTAGAATGCCTGATGCTCCCACTTGGCAATAAAATTCCAGAATAAGAAGAAATGTCCCTTCTTCCATGTTATTTATCTCATGTACAACCAATGATATCTTTTGCCATTGAAAGGTCTAGAAGCAGAACAGCATTCAGAGCTGTAATACACAGAAATACGTCTATTTATTAGGGATCTTTATTGAGCTACACTTGCCCATATTATGGTGTATGAATACAAAAGAGTACGAATACTATAATGTGGAGCTTTTTTTAAACCATAGTTCTTGGGAACATGGAGAAAGTATGTTTGTAAGAAGCCGACGGTGGGACTCGAGGTATCCTGCACTGTTACTGTGGTGGCTTCCCTGTGGCTCTGATCCAACTCTTAGCTACAGAGGTGTCTCCAGCTGTCAGCTCAGAGTTTAACTTGGCGGGGGGGAAACCAACCCAAACCTTGCGGAAAAAAAACACCCAGAAGCTGCTACAGCTCTTTCCAGAGCAATTTTTCAAATAGAAATGTTTTAAAGACAAAATCACTGCATGTCTTGTTTTCCTTTTGGGTAGGAAGGATAACAAAACTCCAGGCCAGCCCAGCCCAAAAAAACCCCAACACCAAACCAAATCAAATTCTCTGCACTTGGTCTTTCTTTGCTGCTAAATTTGCTACAGAGGACACCCCAGATGGTTTCCAGTACAACACTGTACAGTTACACCAGCTGTCAACAAAAACCCTTTTAAAGCACTGTCTCACAATTAATTACCAGAAAAGGCGCGGCAGCTTGAACGCCCAAGAACTGAGGCCTCCTGCGGCTCCTGCTGAGGTAGGGCTCTGGGCCACAGCTCCGCACAGGCCCCGACCCCGTGGATGAGGGCAGTAGCGCTGCCGTGCTCGGGCACAGCCGCCATCAGCGACCCTACGGCCCGGCGGGGGGATGCGGAGTCCGCATCGGCCCCACCGGGCCCGCCCTGGGCCCGCCGAAGCGGCCGCAGCAACTACGCAGGCGCCGAGACGTGAAAGACTGCTGCGCGCGCGAGGAGCGCAGCCAATGGGAAGGGGCCACGGCGGCGGCGCCAATCCGGGGAGGCGGAGTGGGCGGGGCGGCGTTCAAACGCGGTGGCGGCTTGGCGCAGGGAGGCTCCTGCTGGCAGCGGCGCGGCCCGTCCCGGCGAGCGCAGCCCCGAACAGCCCGTCCCGGTGGGTGCAGCCTGAGCAGCGCGTCCCGTCCCGGTGAGTGCAGCCTGAGCAGCCGCCGGAGCGGCCCGAGTTTCCTGGCTGTGTGAGAGGCCTGAGCCAGCCTCCGCGTCGCCTTTCGCACTCGTTTCAGTGGGAAACACGGGGGCCCTCCCCGCGCCGTCGCCGCACCTCCCGCGGGACAGAGCCGGGGCCGTTAGCCGGGGCCGCAGCCGTGCGGGTGGGGGGGCTGCGGGCAACCGGCGTAGGAGCCGGCGGCCCGGGTGAGCCTCAGGGCACCGCACGGTGTCCGGTGCAGGAGCTGCTGATAGCCTTTGCCGTGGGTTCCGAATGAACTGGAATGAGGGCAAAACTGTGGGATATGAGACACCAACATGAAATTCGCAGTTACAGACCGTTCTGCCTCGCGAGCTTGAGGTTTGCAGCCTACGCAGTCTGATATGCAGTGCTGGAAACGCAGTGGGAGACTTCTTCATGGGCACACAGACCTAAATAGCTGTAAAAATCAACGCCTCCAAGTAAAAGTCTGCTCAGGTCTGGTTTTGTTGTTTCAGGCAAACGTTAACTGAATATATCGTAAAAGGTTTTTCACTCTCATTTTTCACGCTGTGCTGTACCTTGCTCTCATTTTGTTAGTTTTAGAAACAAGGTTGACCAAGAACTGGAACAAGATGGTATCTGTACTCCAAAATGTCAAGGCAACAATGGCCTGGCGGAAACACCAGCTTCTAGGTGACTTCGATGAGGATGAGAGCCCTGTACCTGACAAATTCAAGAGAAGGACTTCTTTGAGTTCTCTCAATACTATCCGCATGTCTCTAAGAAAACGAGTACCATTACAGTATGTAGAGCTGAATTATCGTAGGACCCCAACTTGGGAAAGTCTGGAAGCAAGAAAGAAGTGCCAAACTCTTCAGACTATTAAAAGAACAGCAAAAAATGCTTTTGGAACAGTGTCCCAGGTACTTTGCCTTTGCAGTGTAACGTCGATAGAGTTCAATTTTTGCTTCAATGTCAGTACTCGGCTTTCTGGACTCTACAGAATGCTGTATTCCAGTCTATCTGACACACTTGCACACTGTTATGGTTGTCACTAACTAGTAAAATCTTTAATATCCTTGCTAAAGTATAGACAGGTAAATTATGGATCGGGCAGAACAGGGAGGAAGGCGAAAAGGAGAAATACGAGATGTAGTTTCATCAAGACTTTATTACTAAAAAAATGCTTTTCCCCTACTGTATTGCATCATGTATGGCAGAGCAGCCTTCACAAGGAAGGTGGGTAGGGACTGCCATTGCTTGCAAAGAATTGTTTCTGAGAAGTGTGCAGTGCTTTGGACTTTTTAAATTTTTTTTTTTTTTGTACTCCTTTTCCTGTACCCATACTATTTGTTATCATGTACTTCATTATAGTCAATCTAAATTTGGACTGAAGAAAACCACTAGATGGTAGCAGGGTGGCAAACTTGAGCTTGCACTTCCCTTTGGTGGAGATGTCTGATTTTAACCGCATCTGTGACATGTTGGGGAGCTGTCTCTCTCCTGCATAAGAGCAGCAGGAGGTCTGTTCCAGTGCCTGCTGAAGTCCTTGCCAAGTTCCAAGGACTGAAGGAGCAAAGGACTCCAATGCGAATGGGTACAGAGGATTGAGAAGCATTCAGGCTAGACTAAACCTGACACAAGAAAGCAAGCTAGGGATTCAGCTTCTTGTCTTTCTGGTTCCAAAATCCAGGCTAATTGAATTCATTTAGCATAACATGTTTGTCTAATGCTTCTTTCAGAAAATACAAAAGTCTTGCCAAAGCCAAGCATGCTCGATGGTGACCTTTCCAGCTGAATCCATCAGCAGCAACTCTGCAACCAGTTCTACCAAGAAAAGAAGTAATACACCTCATAACCCTTGTCATAGGAAGAGTGTTACTCCAACAGCCAGTTCAAAAGGCACCCCAAGATCTAGCAAAAGAGCCTTGCTTGAGCCAACAAGGGCATCAGAACACAAAGAAGGGAGGGGTTTCTCATCCTGGCTTGGTAAAGGTGCTGTCTCTCTTCGGAGATCAAGAAGAGCAGCAGCACTGAAGAGCCCTTACTCATCACCTGCTTCTGCCAGCAGAAAGATGTAAGCCACATTCTTTTGTAAACCTTATTCCTTTTTTTTCTTTTTTTACTGTGCTTAGAGTATCTTCCAAAGTGAAAGGCAAGATATGAGGGTTACTATCCTATTCCCCTGAAAGGGTGTGCTGTTCGAATAGGTAAGAAATAGTTACAAGTACCTGTATAGACAGGGACCGAGCACTGCGTAAAGCTGAAACATGAAACTTAATTTTATGCTGTGACAAGAACTTTTAAAAAAATCACTCTCCCACTCCCACCATCTGACTGACGGGGACTGGTGGTGAGAAACTAGAGACACACCTGAGTTCTTTGCTGATGCCTTTCTGGTAAAGAAAAAAGCTCTCAATACGTCTCACTCCTACTTAGCTCTAACTCTTCCTAAGTTGCTATTTTTATTACAAAGATACTTGGAATAGCTCTGCTTATGCCGAGGTCTTTGTTAAGAGTAGAGAGACTTCTGCCTCAAAGATTACATTAAGGGATGTGAGCTAGGGAAATACTTCATAATGCACGTGCAGGTTTTTGCTTTAGTCAAAGTTACATGAGAAATGTGAAAGCTAGAAGCTGAATGCAAGCCTTGTGAATCTGAACCCGTTGTCTGAATTGGAAGATAGCTCTCTTGGGTGTGAATGGAGATGTGAAGCAGTTTGTGAGTGGAATTAAGGGCCTGATTGCTACAACCCTAAACTTCTCTGGGTGAAGCCTGGAGGTCACTGGAGTCGCTACTGCGGGGATAGAGGTTTGGGCAGTGTTACCTTGTCTGTCTGTCCCGTTTGATCTTTAATAAAGATCATTCTGCTTGTGGAGAGTTTGACTTCGAGCTGGAGCTGGTCTCCTCAGGGATTTGCCAATTAAGCAAATCTCCCAGGTATTTGAGGATGCCATTGTGCAAGACGAGAGTTAAATATTACTAACTGTCTCCCTCAACTTTTAGCAATAGCCCTTATTACAGGGCAATTCCCTAAACCTCTTCCTTTCTTAGGACACTTGATGTCAAGTATTCAATAATTAACCGTCAAGCCCCTAAAATCCTCTAGAGAGGGCTTAGCATTAAGTACTTTTATCTACAAAGAGGTAAGGGCTTAAAATCCTATATAATTCCAAAAATTCAATTTTTACCAATGAGACCATTTCTAGATAACTATAGGTTAAATCTTGTATTAAGTTAATGATCGTATCTATTGAAAGTTCACTAAATCTCACTCCTAATATTCTCCCATCTGTTAGCGATATGACAGTTTCTCTCATTTGTAACTGAAGATAGTATCAACCAGGTAAAGTAGTTGTTCACTTACATTGTCTATTCCTGCATGCATTGGTGGGGAGAAAACCTGCTGTTTGGAGAGAGAAAGGCTTATTAACTCAGGCTTCTTCAAAGTATTATTATGTGGAACCACAGGGTTCTTCTCTCACGGTCACTGTGGCTGTTTCTGCTCCAGCAGATCATTGTGCAGTTGTAAAACTTCACCTCTATATTGTGGATTAGTGAATCTCTGTGGGTTCGCAATGAACCCTAAGTTGGGCTTCATGCAAACGGCAGCTTTCCTCACCCCAGACTAGAAAAATACTGGTACTAATGTCTTTGTCATTCAACCTCAGTTCTCACTGATTACTAATGAAGATCACAAAGCATGACAGAACAAACTATTACCTCAGCTGTCTCATTTTACAGCTTTTCTTTTCCATCCCTAGCATTGTCTTAGCAGTTAAGATGATGCTATCATATTAAGAGCAGTTGATACCTCTATTGTTGGCATTTTTAAACACAGCAACTGTACCTAAATGGATGGGAACAGGAATTCTTTGCTGTAAGTTTCTAAACATCACTTCTAATGTCAATTCATTGAACCATTACCTGGTAAATGCCTCTATTACCTTCACTGAAATCTGTATTTTGACATTAATATCTTCACCTGATACACTGGAAGTGTTTCTTTTTGTTAAAGGCAAAGTTACATTCTGAATAGTATGTCCTGTTTTAGCAACAAAGATAGGTTTAAGACTTTGATTGCTGTAATTTTTCAGGAAAAATGAGAGCAGATTCAAATGTTTGACCGAAGCTTTAAACAGTGATACTGAACTACTTCCACTAAGCAATTTCTTCCAGTTTACCTGCATGTGTAGGTGCATACAATGTGTCTGTCACTGGCTGGTTTGTAGGTTGCCTACTGGAATAATTGTGAAATAATTTTGGAGGTGCCCCTAGAGTCTTGCATATGACTTTCTGCTCTGGTATCCAATTGCCATGAGGTTTAGTGTTACAGCTCTCTTTTCATCTTTGCCATGATGAAACAAACCTTGATCTCAAGCTGTTTATAATTGCCAGTTCTGTGTATGGTTCTAATGTTTTTCATTTTAATTCATTCAATTACATCACAAGAAATACTGCTAGTTAAAGTATTGCAGTACCTAATTGGTGTACTACCATTTCTGCTCACTGAACACAATAAAATATTTTCTTGCTAGTGTTTAGAACAGTTAATACAGTGAAAGTGTACAGGTTCCAGGCCTCTTCCTTGCTCCCATCTAACAGTTTTGCAGTAATTTGTGGCAAAATCAGTTAATTGACCTTCCTGACTTCATGTTGCTAATGGCAGTCTTGTTCTTCTGCAGGCAACACGCAATATCAAACTACTACTATCTAATGGCACAAAACTTACAGTCTGCGCGTCGACCTCAGAACTTTCTCAAGCTATTGGAAGGCGAGCGAAGTAACTCCGTTGAGCACTTGGTACCTAGACAGAGGTGGCTGTAACTATTGTTAGTTTATGAGCATATATAAAGGAGAGCTCTGTGTAGCACTTGAAAGGGTACACTCTGTACACTGAACAAGCCATTATGTTTTATGATCTTTCGTGACAAAGCAGCTCAGGACTTCCCTTCCATTCCTTTCTCTTCTCAAGAGAACAGGAGAATCAAAGTTGTACCACAGGGTGTTATCTCCTGCTGTGATGAGGGACCATTGTGAATGTGACGTTCATAAGGTATTAAGTGCTTTGAAACTCATGTTGATCTGACCAGTGGGAATGGCCAGAGCAGGGGCCACAGGCTTAGGAAGGGTGATCACAGGTAACAGTAGTATTTAGACTGGTATCCAATCGCCACAAGTTTTAGTATGAGTACTTTCTATACTAAAAGTACCAGTCCATTATTTTGAAAGTCTGAATTTTTTTTTTTCTCTTTACAAAACAACCCAAAAACTAAGCATCATGTTTAACTGGAAGTTAATGAAACAGAAGTGGCTTGTATGAGTTCTGACCACAACTGCCATTCCAAGGCAACAGGTTTCTGCGGAGTCACTCACACCACAAGAAGAGCCACATTAGGACTCTACTTCATGGTCTTAAGATTGCTATTAGAATAGCTAATCCTATTAGAGTTTATTTGATGAAGTATACTAAGTGTTTGATACCTGTATTTTGCTTATAATTACTTTAAAAAAAACAAAAACCCACAACATTAATTTGACAAACCTTTTTTGGTAGGTGATTCCATTTAACAAAGTTCAGTCTTTCAAACTAAAGCAAAGATTTCTCAAGCTTCTAGAATTCACCAGCAGGGCTGTTTTCCATGGCAGCAGCTTTGTGCAGGCTTCTTGGATTCACTCTAAGATGAACCTTCAAACAAAAGATTGATGTGGGAAACTTTGCTCTATGCTTTTAAGATGTACATGTAATTTAGTAAAACTGTAATTATTAAAATTTTAATGATATTAAGAAAAAATATGGGAAGCAGTCATTTTTAATTCTGATTTGTGTAATTAATGATTTTAAGCTTGCTCCCGTTTTTTTCTCATCAAACTAGACTGCTTTAAAGTAGTGAAACAGTTTATGAGGGCTGGAAACATGAACACAATCCTGACTTCCAGGCTTTCAGGAGACTGAGAGCTTTAGCTTGTGTTATTTCTTGATGGGTTTGTGTGTGGTTTTTTTTCTGTTGTGGCTTGAGTTGTGGGGTTTTTTAACCACCTTTCTATACGGAATGGTAGCTTGAAGTTTATTCTTTGCATGCACTCAAACACTTCTATAAAGCTTTCACAAAGATGGTGTCTCATCACAGAAATATTTTCTTATATGAGTTTTCAAAAGAAAGGAGGTTTAGAGCTTTGTGAAAAGTCAACCTCCAGTCTAAGTATTATTTCAGACAGTCAGATGTATTAAACAGCCTCTTTTTATACTGCTTCCACTGGCTACTAGGACATGTACAATGATTCTCTAATACTTCCCACATCACTGGTAAGAAAAATCAGTGACACTGCTTAAAGGCAAGGAAATTTTTATTTAAGTGAGTAGTCTATTATAAGATTTTAAAAACCAGCTCACATCAAAATCTATACCAGTTGTAGAAATCTTAACTCCTTATTTCATATTAAGAAATTCATTATTGTACACTTCTGAATCTTTACAAGGCAGCCATAAGAAATATAAACATTTGTCACCAGATAGAACCTTCTCACTGACAAACAATATTTCAAAGTACGTACTTAATAAAACTATAGACTGAAAGAACATGTACAATTTCAAGTTTCCTTGTATGAATTCAGTTGTAAGTGGACTGCCCCCTTCCATCCCCCTCAAATAGAAAAATAAGTTATGCAGAAGGCTTGGGGTTCTGTGAGAGGACTGCCATTCTGGGCCCTACACCAGTCCTCCCAGAATAACCTTATCTTTAAAGCTTGCAATCTGTGAATTACGTTTCAACCTTGTAATCTCAGGTATATACTATCTCCTAAGACATCACAGTACGCCTGCCTCTCCCCCCAGTAAGTGCTGTACTTCCTTACAAGAGAGAAATGAGCTGTCAGATTTGTTTCATGTCCTTCCTCTCTTCCCCACCAAATTATATCCAGTTTCAAAGGTAGTTTATTGAGATAAATACAAATAAAGGGTAAACTGTAATCCCCTTTCCTTGGTCTTGAACTAAAATGAGGGAAAGAGGAAATACCAACACCTGACTTCAATTCCAGAGTCCATGGCACAGGATTCTAGCTGTTCCAGGCCATTTCCTTTTTTTTTTTTTTTTTTTAAAAAAAAAAAAAAAAAAAAGAGTTCTTTTCATCCAGAAAAATGTGTTATTACCACCATTTCTATGGGGACTGAATTGAGGATAATCTGTAGGAACTTATATTTACACTTGGGTTATTAAACATCATGGAAGTCAAATTACCTTGTTAAACCCAGAATTTCTTCTGAAGCTATGAACACAGACCATGAGCAATCATTGCTCTTGGAAAAGCTGAGGTAAGTTGGAAAGTTTGGTGTCTATGGGAATTATATCCTGTACCAGCTCCAGATGAGGATGGAAAGTGCCACTTTCTCCCCTGCATGCCTAAAACGAACAATTCAACACAGAAATCTTGATTTCAGATCCCACATTTCAAGCTCTAATCAGAAATATGATGAAATTGCAGGTACAATCTCTCCTCTCTGTTATTAAGCCAATGAGCTTATTAAAAGGTGCCCATATTCCATCTAGTATTTTTATGATTTACTCACCTTTCTGTGGCTTAGATGGCAAGGGCGGGGGGGAAACTGGGGAAAATCCTATTTACCGAGTAACAGTTGTTGCACTTGCACATTTTAAAAACTGAAAATACTGATTGATTTCAAGTACTATTAAAAATGCTCATAAGCAAAGTTTTTAGCAAGTTTAAGACAGGAAACAATACAGAAAGAAGGAAAAATGTCTTTTTTTCCCTTCTAAGTTTATTCCATGAAGTCCATGATGATACTATAGATCTAAATATTGGAGATTTGCTTAAATACACACACTGGCAGTGCCCTGCCCTAAAGACTACAATGTATGTGGGAAAACTTGATCACTAATAACGGCAAACAAAGGCTAATTTGCAGAATGGTGGAACTTCCAAATAAAGCGCCATCGTTCTGTTTAATAGCTTAAGGTATGTAATATTTTTTTCCTCTAGTTTACTGATGGTTCCAATTCTACATAACTAGTGCAAGTTTTAACTGTTTAGAAGTGACTTCCCCAGGTACTAGAGAAATAGGTGAAAGTAATCTCTAAGAATTAAGACACTATTTTCATAAAAACATATCAAAATGGCAGTTCTCATGAACCCCAATGAACAAGAATTATCAATGCCATGTCATTTTTACACCTAACAAAAATTTATGCTGAATAGCTATAAACCATGCCACAAAACTAAATAGGAGTACTTTGGTCAAGCAAGATTCTGTTCCAAGAACACTAGTGTACATAAACACTTTGAAAAAACCAAAAGTTATTCATAATAAGCAGATTTGGATCAACATCACTATTCAGGTCTGTGGAATATTCTGCACTCTTTATACAATGATATCTTTTTTCAAACGTACCTAACTAGACAACAAAATTGAATAAACAGCCATTTAATATTATTTTTTTAAAATATATCAGTTACAAATTTGCTGTGAAAGCAGAACCAAGACTTCACTTAAGGTGTCTTCCAGTAGCTACACACACATAAACACACACACACAAAAGAAACCCCAAAACACCACAGTTGTGAAGGTGTGTTTTCACAATAGCTCAGATATGTCTACCACTGCTATTAATCACAGCCATTTTTTTTTACAGTAATTTAAAGCTGGATCTGTACCAACAGAGCAAAGAAGTAAATGCTCCCAGCTGTGCCCTGCTTTGCCTTGACATAGGGCTGCACCTGCTGCAACAGCAGGTTTGTTTTACAGCTTCACTTCGCTTCCTCTGTTCAGCAGGTTAAAAGAATGTGCTTTTCTGTAACAGATGGGAGGCACCAAAGGTGCTGGAGCTGCAGAGGGTGTAACCAGCCTTCCCCCAGCACCCCCATTCCTGTGCGCTTTGCACCTCCACAGCCCCTAATGCCCAGTCAGCCCTGACTGCACAGAGAGCGCAGCATAGAGGACCGGCAGCAGGAGCAGGACGACTGCAGGGTCAAGCTCATCCTCAGCAAAGGGTCTGCTCAGGAGGATTGATAATCCTCCAGGAAAGCACAAACGAAACAAATCCAATTGCAAAGTGAACGCCCATGAACCACTGCATGCAGTTTCACATGGACAAAGCGCATAACTAAAATTCTGACCAGAAGGAAATGTTCTGAGACAAAACATGATTGAAAATTATGCTATAAAACCTGTGAATCACCAGGCAAACCTCAGGAATCGCCCTAGGCACAGCAGGGAAAAAGCCCAAGAGCGGTTCAGCAGACACGTCCCCAGCCTGCACCATGGAATATCTGATGTCTGAAATCACACCTTGTTCATACTCTCAGCTCCAACAGAAGTTGTTTTACGATTTCAGACGCAACTGACTAGTGCTTTCAAACAAATTTATCTGGCATGTGATGTTTTAGAAGCTCGGCTCCTAATTAGCATGAAGCCTTAACTCCAACTTAATGCCTGTATCATTGTGTGCCAACGTGCTCAGCTGGAGGCATGTGATCAGGAGTTAAACCATTCTATCCCTGAGCAATAAGTAGTCTTGGAATTATGCAAAGGCCACATAAGCTCTCGTATATTGAAGGTAACAAAGTTAGGGAAAATATTTTTAGTTTGATATTTTTAGCTTAATATTTTTAGCTACATCACGTGTAGAAACTTCGAAATCGTGACCACTCTAAATCATGCACACATACACTAGCATTTGTTTTACTACTATTATTAACTCATACCGTTCTTAAGAGAAGCCAGCAGAGTGACTACTGCAAAGGTGACCCAGTTATTAATATAAATACACAAAATCAGAATTTTCATGACATTGTACCCTGCAAAATGGCATTGTGTCTGCAAGAGTAAGACAGACCATAACAACCTAGGAGATTTCTCAACCTTCTACTCAGACACTAGTTCCTTTAACATAGTCACAGAGTTACACACAGATCCCTCTTCTGAAAGGAAGCAGGCCTTTCTACTACAGCAACTTAAAATGAAAAATAGATTTTGGAGTCTCTTGGATGAGAGAGGTAGACGGCTAAAGCAACATTAGCTTTGAACTTTGCAGCAGCAACAGTGATTACTGTCAGGAGACACGATACACAACACCCAGTGCTTAAAAAGAACTTTGTGGTTCATCAGCGTTGCTTTTAGGTCCCCTCAGCAAATTTAAAATTTGCTTAGTGACCTCCCAAGCCTTGGATTCCCGCGCATTTTTAAAGCTCACAATCAGGAGCACATTAACAGTGAACTGAGGGAGGGAGATGCTCCTCCTCGCTGTGGAGGATGCGAGGAGAGAAAGACTCTCTGATTAGAATTAATAGACACAGTGGGCCAAGACAGAACACAGAATATTTCCTCCAAATTTGTAGGTTAAAGAACTAGGTGTGATGCTATTGGGGAAGCATCTGTAAACCTGAAGACTGCTTCAATGTAGTTTGTGGGTATCTTTCATTTAGCTTTGGTAGCTGGCTGACTTGGCAACAGAGCATTAAAACCCGTTCCCCTGTAATGTAGTTACCTGCTCCCAATTAGTGTGAGCTACCAAACTTAATATCTTTCCTAAATCTTCAGCAGAGATTACCCCTTCCCTTAAGGGAAGCATTATAAAAACAAATTACTGATGTGCCAGAGATCTATCAAGAAGTTTGAAATAGATAACTGATGATCTTGCCAAGTAATGTCTAAAAAAATAAATCAAAGATCTCCGTTTATAAGCTACTTGCTTTTTAAGGCAAAAGCCACATTATTATGCTTTTCAAAGATCATACTGAAACTTTTGGGTGAATAGGGAGTAAAGACTTAGGTTTACTTCTGCACTGTTAATAGTTTTCCATTGCATTTCTTGTTTGCTTTACATGTCAACATTCAAAATCATTAACCAAAGACTTGTTGCAAGACTGTTTCTGGTCTAACTACTGACCTGGAAAACCTGAAAGTGAGGCAGGGAATGGGAGGTGCGGAAAGGCATGACACCCTCTCCACCCCCATTCCCCAAAATTAAACCAACCAACCTGAAAAAGAATTTTCCTATTGACTTCAAGCTTTCTCTGTCAATAGCCCTGTTTTAATTGTTAAAGAAAAGGGGATTTGTGTGCATTTGTCATTTCATTGCAGGTTTTAAAACATGCTTCGGTTCAGTCATTAAAGTTCTCTTGGTGAAGTTAGTGCAGTGGAAGTAGCTGCATGAAGAATCTGACACCTGCTACTATGTTGAACTAACTACAGCACTTTAGAAATATTACCACTTGGGGAAAATTTCACACATTTTACTTCTCATAAATTCATTGAGAGATTTGATAAAAATTTAAATCAGCAGGAAAATGTCTATTTGGCACCTGTAATTTGGCATGTCCATTCTTTGAAGCTCAAATGCTGTACTTCTGAATGCTACAGATTGTCTTAACACAGCAGTTGCTCTAAAGCATGAGAAAGTAAACAATTTACCCATAGGAATTCCATTACTTTTTTTCTCCAGTGTAAAGATTCTAATCAGAGTAATGAAAAAAGTGATTGCTCTGAAGTTTGTAGATCCCTTAGTAAACGGGCTCCCTTTAGCTCACCGTCCTAGGATCTGTCTCTCAGACCGAGATGGTCAGAGCGATCTCCGTGTGAGTAGCCCACACATTTTGCAGTCACCAAGTTCCACAAAACAATGTGATTTTTGTATACTTGCACACTACTTCGTAAACAGCAACACTAACTGCTTCAAACTGTGGCAGACACATTTATTTCTAAAATGAAGTTTTTATGATTTGGTTCACCAGTGGAGTTCTCCCATTTACTCCACGTTCAGCACCTCACACAAACACGAGGTCTCATGCTGGGGTCTGTTGACAGCACTATACGCTGAAAGCAAATCTTGGGTTTAAGGCACCCAAAAAGCATCTTGCTGTACAAATCTTGACCCCCCATTACTGTAGTTCCCACCTCTGCTTCCCTTGCAAGTCTATCCCTTTATCCAAAGTGAAGTGGAAACAGATATAACTATTCAACGTCTGAAGTGTAAACCTTCTCTGTAACCTATTGGACCTACTCCTTATACTGCTTTTGGTGCAGCTAGTTAGCTGATACCACGATCACTCTGAGTAAAATCAGCCTGTTACAGCTTTTTCTCTTATTGCACATTTTATTATATCTGTTGTAAAAAATAACTGAAGATATTTCTTGTTGCTTGGATGTTATAAGCACTTGCAATAGTTTTAGATTGTTTTAAAATTTCCCAATAAACACGTCAAGAGGAACAGACTGGAAGTTCCCCAGTTGGTGTAAGAAGGCAGAATCCAGAGCAGGGAAGACTCTGAGGTACAGGTTCCCCTTTACATCTCTTAGTTTGAAGCTGCCTAAATACTATCTTTGAGACATGCCTACAAGTTGAATGGGGTGCACCTAAGATCTATATTCCCAAGCTTCCTAGGGGACAGATTCAAATTTGTGAACTCCACCTCGAACCCAGACAATGGAGGGCAAATGCCTATCGTGATCTTTGTCTGACTCGGGCTGGCTCTGGGCACGCTCTGGCTTGGGGTTCAAGGAAGGTGGGTCGGGCTGCTGCACAGACATAGTCCTGCGGAGATGGTTTCTCTTGCGCAAAAACTCTGGTTGGGAGTGGAGGCCAAAGCTGCCTTTTCTCAAGATCATCCGAGAGTTGTTCTTTTTGGGTCGTGAATGGAGACTGAACTCCAGCGAGGCCAAGTGGGCTGCGTAACCTTCACTGAGGAACTGAAACAGGAAGGAAAGAAAGGGAGTGACAAATTACTGCTGCCTCAACCTATGAGCTCTAGGAGGAATTAGGTTCCTATCTTTGGCATCCCAATTAGACACCTACAGAATATTAATACTCCCCGCCCCTCACTTTTCTTTCTGGTGACCTGTTCCTTTCTGTCGTTCAGCAATACATGACACATGCACTTGCAGATACAACCTATGACCACTCAATTCGCTTTATTATCCACCATGCCAGAAAATGCCTCAGCTGCAAGCAAAACTGTCCTCCTTTCTCTGAAACACTGTCTCTGCTCTTTATCTTTTTTGTATGTGTGTGTGATTGCCCATGCATTCCCTGGTATGCGTTTCCTTGCTCCCCCCAGGACTTCCTGATGGAGTAGTGAGAGTTACTTACTTGACACTGTGCCTGGTATTTCTTTGTTGATCGTCCAACTATGTAGATCTGGGATGGTGACAGAGCCAAGACATTGTACACAGAAATATCCTTCATGGAACCATATGCGGCACAGATTTTGATGTGGCACTGAAACAAATATTACTTCCAAAGTGAACGCTCTATTGAACACCACGCACTACAAGGATGGCACTTGTTTTGCAATGAAGCAGCAGATGAGTTCATTGCTAACAACCTCATTCTGCAAACCACAGTAAGCTAAATCTTTCTGCCTGCATGCCAGCAAGAACTACACATGTGCACACAGGAAAGAATAAGTAGTTCATTTATTTATTTGTCATGCCAGGAGGCCCCTTCGGATGTTTTATCAGCCTTCCTTGCTCTTTAAAAAGTGAGAAAAGAACTGAGTAATGGCAAAAAGACTCTGTGATGGCCAGTGAGATTGACTGTTCAAGAGGAAGGGAGATCTCTAACATCATGGGATAACAGTCTCTGGAAAAAGGTTTTAAGGTTATAAATTGGTTTTTAGTACCTCTTGCATGAGATTCCGGAGAAAAATGGTCTTTTGTCGCAGTGGGTCATGAACAAGTCCATCTGAGAAGAAGATCATCCCTTGTGGGAAGTTGTGTTGAGACAACCATGAAACCACACGTTGTTTTTGCATATCTGGACGGCCAGTAATATAGATAATCAGATATCCCAGGTCCTGCCAATGCCTGTCAGAAACAGCAGATAAACTATGTGAGTGCAGAAAGAGAAACAAGACCCAGACCTCTGGTCAGCATTTCTTTTCTCAGCACAGAGACAGTTAGAAGTCGGATGTTATCCTTCAGCAAGCAGAAAGCAGCATGCCTAGATCTCTGCTACTATTGAGAAATTATGTAATAATGTCTACATCTTGAAGGAGATGGAGGGAAGCAAGAGACATTCTTACACAATGTGTCGTAAAAAATGTGAGAGCCATTTCAAAATGTATTTAGAATAGACTTTTCTACTTATCGAGTCCTGCTACCTTTGAAACGTTTAATCAGATTTCCTGCCATTTCAACTCTAAGGAGTGGAAAACCTTGAAGATTTACGTCCCTTCATTCCCATGCAAGTTCCAAAATTAGAGCTGCATTTCCCCATCCAGTGCAACATTAACAGATTTGCAAGAATAGATCAAAAAGCCTTTTAATTTTTTCCTCAAAAACCTACTCTTGCATTCATGGCACTTTGTATGTTTGAAGAAGTATGTCCTTATTTGAAGTTCACGAAACACAAAATACACTCTTTTCTAATCACAGTACCACATGCAATGGTTATTAATTCACTACACACACTGTAAGGCCATATTCCTAAGAAGCAACCTTTAATCTTTAAGTAACTTAAACTACAAATTTCAAAGTAAATCACAGCATTCTAAGATTCCTCTGAAAATCAGGCAGAACTGATGTCCAAGCAAAGAATCCTGGACTTTAAAGAACTGTTGCTTACTTAGTTAAAAAAACCAACCTATTTTGCCCTCTTCCTTCCCATTGGGTTCAGATAGGAAAGTCAAAGATTTTAAAAGTGAACGGTGCAAATCTCACTTACCTGACAACATCAACGGCCCCAGCTCGGACTTTGGGGTCACTTCCCATAATTGAAACACTTGCTGCAAACGAACCGTCAATACTGAACACAACACATTCCATTCCCCGGGGAAGCACAGTCAGGTAACTTGTGGCGCTGCTCTGGTCGCCTCTGGAGAGTCAAAGCAATAAATACATTTTAAAAGCAAAATGTCAGAGTGTACTGTCTGCATGTTCTAGTGAAGACCTGAAATTAGAGCTGTCTGGATCTACAGCTTTAAAATCACTGTCAAATAAATAGGGCTTCTGATCTCAGTCCTACGTGGAGCAATTAAAACTTAAACTTTTAGGAAACAGTTTTCCAAAGACAAATTTGGAAGCTGACTTTAATGAGAAATAACATGCGTATAAATACCTAAACTACTTAGGAAAAAAATGCCAAAAGTACCCTGAATTACTCAAACTACTACTCAATCATGCCATCTTTCTACATATGTACATATATAGGGCATGAATGCTATATGTATGCACATGCACACATACATACACACCTAGCACACTGACATTAGCTACATTTTTTTTCCAGCAGTCTACAGCTACTGGCAAATCATTAGAAATTATAATGGAAGAAGTGATATGCACCTTTTATTGGCATGTACTTACACAAATCAGCTTTTCTCCATTGACAAACAGTTGGTAATACCAGCATTACCCATCCCTCTACCCTTGCAAATTACAGTGGAAATACCAATCCAGAAAAGGTGGGTTTTTAAAAAAAATGGCAGCCCACCCCAAAACAAACCTAACCCAACAGAGAAATGCAATTATAGATGGCTTTTCTCGTGGAAAGGCATGTGAAATGCAGTCTTCTCGGAGATTTTTAAAGAAATGCTGTAGGAGAGCTGATTGATTTTACTTAAATGAATTTTTATTTTCAGGTGCTGACATTTTTATTTTCCTTTTCCCAATTAAGAACAAGCATGGTCTTGAGTACAGAATTAAGGTAACTCTTTTGATCAGCCTGACATCAACAGATAAATAGGTGCCGAGAACAAGGCAGTACATCCTCTACTGTTAACTTCAATAAGAAAATCTTCTTACCAGTCTGAAGAACACAAAGCTATACCCTTCAGCAGTCTTTTCCCCAATGAACAGGCTGCAAAATATCCCAAGTCACATATTCTTGCCACAAGAAGACTGATTACAGTCATCCAGTCCCCATATTTTGCAAGATCAAGTGCTCTTATATGGAATTGCACTCAGGATTTGTGTTGCAGTAGGGATAAACCCATTGGCCTGGGCCCCTCCAAACCAGCCAGTAAACAGATGATCACTGCTTCAAATCTGAGCTGACACCACAGTGACAAGACCGAGAAAAGATAACTAACTGACGAAAATTTCCCTCCACACCCCCTTCAATCTTACACCTTGGCGTCTTCCTGACAGCCCATCACAGCTGTAGTTCCAGAGTGGAGCTATTACCTGACCACCATTTTGATGGGATACACACCAACTCTCAGCCTCTTCTGCTTGGGTATGCTGTAGGATATCCGGCCACTGCTGTTGGATATCTCTGTGTCAAAGTACACCCACCTACCGGAAGACGGCTCAGTCATTATGAAGATATCAACCTGCAAAAACCAACACAGCAATCATCGAGTGCGATAGCAGGCAACATATCCTCTGTTTACGGGCTCTGTTTCTAATAAAAGTAGATTCAGAAAAATGAGGAAATTAATTACTCGAACTTTACCTTTTCACCTGTTAAAGCTACCATGTCCAGAGGTCCATACATAAAGCGCCCAACTAGTACCTGAGGACCATCTTCTGCTGCAATGACATCATTAGCTCGGTGATTAGCAGTCACATTCTGAAATAAGGGCAGAAGGTGGAAAAGGGTAGTGTTTTGCTTTTGGAAGGAGGCTACTGTCTCTGCTATGCTACTATGAACGGTGACACAGAAACACAGCCCCAGACAGTGTCTGAGATACATCACAGAGCACCTCTGAGCACCAGCAAAACCATGTTCCTATTTCAGCTGGAGCCAGGTTTCCAGTAATGGTGGGTTTCTGAACAGACTTTCTAGTGGGAGCGCTCAAGATGACTAAATAAGAAAGAACATTCAAGGGAACGTCAATTACCTTTCACTTCAAGTGGTGCCATAGATTCACTCAATTATGTGCAAGACACACACATCTTAATTTACATTTCTAAATGAAGTGGCAACTTAAGAATGAAGAAAACATTTTTTTCTTGAGCTATGGATTCATCTAGCATATGTGAAAATAGAAGAGCAACCTCTTTGCTTAACTGAAACATAAAGTCCTTCTGTTATTTAAAAAAAGAAATATACTTTCTCCCAACATGCAGTGATAAACCAATAATAAATTGTTCCTATTCCCTAGCTGTCAATTTGTTTGCTTCTGGATTACATTAGCAGTTTTCAGTTCTTTAGTCATATTCAGTTATGTAAACTCACGCTTTGAGAGATCAAACTCCATTTAAATTGCTGCCAAACCCGAGTTCTATAGCTGCCATATATATTCATATTTATACTTACTCTTAATTTGACATGTGTCCTTTTGCGCAGCCATTTTTCTCGTGGATTGGATGGACTTAATGTTGCTGGATCCAGGTTATCATTTTCCTTGAAATTTACATTTTCATACCTCATCACCTGAAATTATATTAATATTTTAATAAACAGTGTGTGGCCTGGGGATTCCTGGTACTTGGCAAAGAAAGGGAAAGTATGCTCCTGCCCCAGCTGAATGACACTGCAGAGTCAAAAGCACAAGGAAAATAGAAAGAAGTAGAGGCCATATGTTCCCATTAATTGTATAGACAAATAAACTGCTTTCACTCTGTTGGCCAACATTTCATCTCAAGTACTTATTGAATAGCTTTTCCATTCACAACAGGGTTTGCACATTCTTCCAGAGAAAATGGTAAAAGCATTAGGATGGAATCAAGTGACAGTCACATTGTCCGCTCATGTTCTGCAGAGTCAGTATTGCAGCGTAAGACCACAGAAGTGTTTTTTAATGTCCTTTATGGGGTAGAAGTCAGATTCCTGATACCATCTCTATCGATTTTCTATAGATATTACCCAGGCAGAATCATTCTTATCACCTTTTGGCTACTGCTCACCACTGCACTGTGATAAGCTCAGGATTTGGCTTGTGGCTAGTAACATCTGAAGATAAGAGGACTATAACTTGTGAACGTGCAGAACCCTAATGTCACACAAGCTACACATTCTTACAACCTGAATATCACACACTTACCATGAAACTTGCATGTCCAACTCTGATTTCAGGACACACCACCAATTTCAGAATCTGTGGGTTATGTCCTGTTTCAACTGAAACTACAAGCCCTGTCTTACTAAAATCTGTGGGTTGCATCCTGTGATCATGGATTGCGAGAGGCTACTTCATTTTGAATAAGAAATAGCTTAGTCCGTCTCTTTCACAAGCTAGCAGAAAATTACTCAAGTTGAACAGCTGGTTTTCTGTGCTGAAGTTTTCCACCCTGGGTGTCCTCTCTGGAAGAGCGGACCAGAATCATTTTGAAAGATCTCTCGTATGAAGTCCCTTGACTAAAATCCTGCTGCATTCAGCCTTAGCAAAGCAGTTTGCATGCAACAAATCATAGTAATGTTGAGAGGTCACTGCATTTTTTAACAAATTGGCATAAATTCAATTCACTGGAGGTCACATGCAGGAAATGCATGTGCCCATGGGGCATTCAGGAGCCATTAGCCTTAACCTTAATGCCCAGCAAGGGCAGAATGTCCAGACCACGCTGGAGCTAACCAGTCCTTTATGTAGCGCTGTGAGCTCACATATCACTTTACAGGCATGTTCCAACTGCTTGAAGGGCTTATTAATTCTAAAAGCTGTAATGCACATACAAGGCTAGGTAAGGCACAATAATGCAACTTGATATGAATGCACAGAAATAACAAGTAGAATAAAGTAAGACTGATTGCTAACAGGGCTCAGAGAGATATTTGAAAGGAAAGATGGGAGAATGTTCTGATGAATTCCAGGCAAAAATTTTCCTGAGAAAGAAGACGAGATGACAAGAGCTATAAGACAGCTGCAAAGGAGAGGAGAAACATCTATGTACAATTATCTAGGGTCCTTGAACAGAAAAAACAGGGATTTGCACCCTGTCATTTCCAGTAGATTTGGGATGAGCATCAAGTAAAATTCCTGTTCCGGAGACTGTTCTGGTTCACAGAAAAATTCTTCAGCAACTCCTGCTTTGCCTTGATTAAGGTGATGCTAGTTATAAACAAAGCTTTTTACATTAGCTTTTAAAATTCTGCATTGCTTGATGACACATTTTGACTGGAATCAGATATACTAAAGGATCCTCTGAAAGGACAGCAAGAGACTGAAGGACTCTTAGAATTTTATCAATTAAAAACGGCAATCAGAAACTCCTCGAGTGGTCTGGTTACCAGCCAGGTTGGTGCCCTCTCCACTCACAGATGGGGATGTGGAGATGGGGCTCAGTACGACCGCACAGGGTGACTCTGCAGCAGTTGTGACCCAGAGGGAACTTGGACTCTGAGCTTCCACTGCCAGAGCTGCCGGGTGAGTCTCCAGGGAACTGACACTTGACACCAGCACCATGGAGTGGAGGGATTAACACTCAGAGACCAGCAAAAGGAGTCGTGAGAGGCAGGCACACTGACATCTGCCAAACTGATTTAATGAAAAAAAGTCACGCTACTGTTTTCCTGGCAGCATCTGTTTCATCATTTACGGGATGTAAAAAATACACTGATTCTTAGGTTAATCCAAATTAAACTGCTTGTGACTGGTTTTCAGGTGAGGGTCACTTCGGGTTCTTGGAGGGACACTTAACCTGCAGGTTTCACTTGAGCACCTTTAATTATTCTTTGTAGCACAGGTGAGATTTCTCAGCCTTCTCACTTTCTCTAGAGGTCAGAGCACTGTGTTAGGGATAATGTCACTGTAAGCTGCTGTCTAATTACTGACATGGTAGGAACAAGAAATCCATCATATGACTTGGAAATAAATTCTGAAGAGACGGTGCACACAATGCCTTGAAATACTCTGGTATAGTTACAGGAGAGACTTGATTTTCTGACAGGAGCAGTACTTTCAAACTGCTGGTTTATTATCAAATGTATGCTAATAATTTGATATTTGTTGGGGAAATACATAATTAACTAAGTTTGGAGATATCCTACTCCTTCAAATCAGGAGGAAATTAATACGTAATACAGGGTTATACTGATCTGGGGCACGGGAGCGGTGCGCGAGGTGTATGGGACAGCGCGTTCCCAGCCACACAGTCAGAAACTGGAGCACCAGCCAGCGGTGCCAATGGGGGGCTCACTGTCCCCTTCCCCTCTCCAATGAATCCACATCTCCTACACCCATTTGCATGTGATGCAACCACAGTTAGCCATCTAACTAACTAAAGGTTAAGAGACTGATCACCCTTGGAAGATGCAATTAACAATCACAAGGTTATTTGCTGCAGAGAGAAAAAATAAATAGATCAATGACCTGTCTTAAAATGAAGGCCACAACGTCTGTTGATTCCCAGTAGCTGGCATGGAAGAGATGTGGCAGGGCCACGGTTGGAAAGGCTGTCAGCACATCTGGACAATACAAGGCATAATCTATTCGTTTTGTTCCCCACCACTTTGCAGTAACTACAAAAAAAACCAAACAAAACAGCATCACATTTCTATAAAATATCTTCTTAATAAATCTCTTGCTGTCTTTACGTTTAATCTAGACAATTGAATGAAGTCTGCTTTTTTAACCTTGACATTTAGAGCCTGTTAAAAATATCTATCAAATATGAAAGTTCTGTTTTCACTGACTGCATCATCACTTAAATGTCTTCAATCTAAACAGTTCTATTGGGTCCAAGAAGGAGTAATCACCTCAGTGTGATTCCCATTGCTTCCTAGTCCATGGAAAACATACCCTGAAAGACTAGTACTTTTATGATAATGTTACAGATTAAGAATTGCAAATGCTTCCCAAATAGTGAATGGAATATTGACATACGCCTAAAGTCTGTAACAGGACAATATAATCATTTATAGCATTTTTAATTATGGGTGACAAATCTTATCTATCTATATTTCTTCATATTTGGAACGTGTCTAAACCCCTGTTAGTATGAAACCCTTAATGACTATTTATGAGTGGCACCTTAATATAAAACTGTGACTTCACGTCTATTTATCTACTTAATTACAAACAGAAGAGGATGCTAAATTGTGTTATTTAAAATCGCAGCAATTTAGGCTGTTCTCATTCTCCTCAAATTTCCAAGTGGGTAATTTTCCTTTTCATAATAAACTTTTCCACAGAAAGGATGTGGAGGGAAGGGTTGTTGCCAGATCAGACAGCACACAGCATCAGGCTCCACTCACTGTTGGTGAGGTCTGCTGATGGCAAGCTTTCCGTTGACCCTGAGTTTTCACTGTTTGTGCTGGCCAAGCTCAACTTTCTTGTTTTTCCTTGTGGTTGATCAGATGCGTTTGGAGATCCAGGGCTCTCCTGAGAGAAAGGTATGTTCAAAGAGCTGTTCTCAAGGAACAGAGCACTGTGGTTGTGGATAGCATCACCTGCAGGTTACAGAAATTAAAATAATAAAAAAAAAAACACCAATGGGATGAACAACATGCCTTTGGAACTAGTGTGTGTGTGTTAATTTTTTTTTTTTACTTTGTTTTTAGTACAGAACTAACGAGCATTTTCCTGAATAATACCAGATTTAATGACCACAGATGAAATGCCTTCAGAGTGAGGAGGACAGCATGAGACGGTGCAACTAAATGGAGAAAGACAACCCACTGCTATCAAAGTGCAACAGCAGGTGGGTGCTTTGGCCAAGATCTTCCAAACTGGGTACTGATGTTGGGAAGCTATTTTACTTTGTCTCAACCCTGTCCATTTTGAAGTGATCCCTGAGAAGAGCTACACAGCCCTAGGAACCTGCGACACTTCTCTTGTCCTCTTCCTGACATGAGCAAAATGACTTTAGAGAGAGAACCTTCAGCAAGGATATCTACTGGTTTGCATGTTCCCAAATGGAACAGAATTCTCATTTATTCATGCCACTCTGACAAAGCCAAGGGCCACAGCTAACACCTGTACTTAATGAAAAAAACACAGCCTTCCTCCCGAAGGAGTGTTTTGAAACATGTAAGAACAGACATGCATTTAAATAAAAGCATTACTGATAATTTTGCTTGAAGCAGCCTGCACATCCCTGCTGTACCTAGGAAAGGCAGAACCTCAACTGGGAGACAGGACATACAGCAAAGTGCATATCAAATCAACTGACTCCTCAGTGTTTTTTTTCAGAGAAAAAACTTCTTGGAGAGATTAAAACAGTGAACAGAAGAAAAAAGGACACCCAGTTCAATGCACACAATACAAAAGAAAGCAGACGGCCCTGGATGATGTATTGCTCCATTTCTGAGCGTATTTCAGTCCCCTTCAGACAAATAACTGCAATCGTGCTGTGCTCATCTTTCACATGGTCTCAGGTTGGATACTATTTCATATGATTCTTTATGTAGTGGAGGCTGGGAATAAGTTTCCCTTCAACTTTTCCAGTCTTACCAACTCTCAATGCAATGAATACACACAGGAAAACACAACAGGAAGCTGCTGCTTTCAAGGTCACCATTCCTTAAAAATATACATTGGAAGCATAAGTGCCTATAGAATATCAGAACTGGTAAAACATGTCACTGTTAAATGAAAACAAATGGCAGCAAAGCTCCCTACAATCTCCTCCCTTCCAAAAAGCAGACACAGCTAGAAAGATTCTGGCTTGTTTTGACATAAGCCTGAGTATCTCAACTGCATGAGAAAACACAAGGAGCTGCCCTCCAACTGAATCAGAGAAACGATTAATTCTAACACTTTGTGATGGGTATGTAGTTTGGACAGAATATGTTCAATTGTAGTTTCCATGGGAACAGGTGCTTAGAGTTTTCATTAAGGAAATTGCAATGTACTGTTGTTTCAAAGGAATCTTGTTGACACCATGCAGCAAGGAAAGCCATGTGTGGCTACAGGAAAGCTTGATGGAAGTGAAAAGAATGGAAGGATAATTTCTCTACTTCCTTTGTCTCAGGCAAACTATATGGACACCAACACAGACAACTGAAAAGAAAATACAATGCTACTTTCCTATTAGTTAACTCACAAGATGAAGTATTAAATGCTCTTTGCAGTGAAAGAAGCAGCATAAGGAAGTAAAAGGTCCGATTCTATGTCGTCCAGCAAGGCACCTGGTTCTTCTGACAACAAACCCCAAATTAGGTGGCCTAAAATACCACAGCAAATGAGTTCACTGAAGAGAGCAACAGAACCCACAGACATAAGCAGTGAGGAACAGGGAAGGTGCCAATTTGCACACCTTTAGGGGTCTGAACCAGAACCCTGACCCAAACATCAACCAACAGGGAATTCCACAGAGGAAGCTGCAACAAATCCTAAAAACGAGCGCTAAATCTCCATGAAGTGCTCATGGTTGGCAGTGTTCTGATACATACTATCTGTTTCCCCTGACTCACTGAATAAAAAAAAGTTGTATTTTAAAAATAAATTTTCTGCTTCTGAATCGTTGTTGCTCTGCTGAAACAGTTGCAAATTGACCCTAATCTTATCCTTCCTCCCCCATTATAATTTTTCAAGAGTTTTGTTTTTTCATTCCCACTAAAATGGAGACAGAAGTAAAAATAGTAACTTTGCACAGAATGGAAAACATGTTGTGAGCCAACCTCTCTCTGCTAATTTTTCTTTCTCTTTGCTAGTGTTGACTCTCCTACACAATCAGAAAACTGAATTTAAACCATGCCTCAAATAATTTTATTTTATTAAGCTATTTCATCAATAGCCTAATAATGTCATCACATCCACACTAGGAATATCAACAGTTGCACCTGACCAAGCAATTGACAGAAAGAGGAATAATTCCCTGGGCTAGTTTCTGTGATTGTCAAAATCAAGCCTGGTAAGAGCCAGCTTTCATCATCATCATTAAGCTCTTAATAGGTCAGTCCATCACACACAGAAAGAATACCACATTCTACAGTCAGAATGATGCTGGGGCAGAGTTAACGAGAAGCGTCGATGCCTGTTGGATGCAAAAGGCAATCACCCAGATAAAAGTGTGCTCTGCTTTTTAAGTCATGCCATTTAAGTCTTTGATGTTTTCTGAATCTCAATGGAAAAAGTAAATTCGATAAACTAAAAGCTTCAAGATAAACCTTATGCAGAGCAGCTGACTCCAAGAGTTTTGTTTGATTGGCAAGAACTGAAAGAGAGCTATAGAAGTCCAACCCCAGCATCGTGTTATCGCTGAACTGTTCCTAGAAATCATCTTGTAGTAAAATTTTTTGTGCAGTTTCCAAATCAGACTTTTTTTTTTTCACAGAGGCACCTATCAGGAATTTCAGGCAGACAACAGAATCATTCTTATTTTAATCATCACATCTTATGAGAAAAGGAATAGTGAATGAGATTGTTTAATGACATGAAAGACTATTAGAAAAGGCTGTTTTGGGCAGTGCATAATAATTACAGTTTGGTGTAACTAGGTCTCATCAAAACTGGTTAGTAAAATACCATTCCAGTTGACACCATGAAGGCTCTCATTTTAAGAAATACTATCACAAGCCCAGGTATCAGAGAACAGGAAAAAAAATTATAGTCACTAGAATTAATCCTTTGTGAATGATGAACCTTAAATTCCAAAAGGATCTCAAAGCACTTGCATTTAAATGGGACGATTTCACATTCACTGAAATGTAATGCAGCTCAGGTGTAAAGCACGGCAATGATTTAACTCTGCACAGAGATTTAAATACAAAACCATACTATGGAACATTTGCTGATCATAAGTAGTCAGGAATTTTTATTTTATAATATATCCAACAGACAGGGGTTCCAGATTTACATGCTCTGCAGGGGAATCTTCTGACCCAGTGCCTTAGATAAATTCAAAAAGAACACCAGTTGTTCCCAGATCACTTATACAGCCTCTGCTTCATGAATCACTGTATCTGAAGGTTTTACTTTAACACAACAAAGCTGGTGAAATGTACCAATGCAAGGTTTTCATTTTGAAAAGCAGCCTAAGGGAACTGTTCTTCCTATGACAGTAATTTAAAAGAGGGTTCATCTTTTCAAGATAGCCTTAGATACATCTCAGTGACAGAACTTGTGCCTAACTAACCATCAGGATTTCCAACTGCACAGTGAGGCTTTCTAGTAACTCCAAGAAAGAATGCAAAGCAGGCTATATATTGCCATTGAAAGAAAACTCAGACACGGGGGTGAGAAAAGAGCACATATTCCCTGGTTGGGACTGTCTCTCACCTTTGCTATTCCTGAAGTCAGTTCTCAAGGAACTGCTAGATCTTCACGTTTCAGTGAAGCCAACACCTAGAAATCAACCTTCTTCAACTCAAGGTCCACTGTTGCTTTTCAAACATTGATTTAATCATATTCAAAGTGATTTGCATCCAACGTTCACCATATTTGAGCAGATAAAACAAAGGAGTTCTGTGTATCTACTGCAGAAAACACTGCCATTTTGCTATATTAGCCTCCAACCTTAAACTCTGAATCCTGAAAGGCCTTTTGAAATACCCTGCTAAGGCTTGAATTCATGTCTGAATCTGTAGCAGAAAGAATAAATCTAATGTGCATGCACATACAGATACACCGAGCAATTCCTTTTTTTCATAATATGACAAGTCAAGATACTTTCCACCTATATGATTTTATCTAATTTTCTATAAAGTCAAAACAGCACAATTCCTTCTACTGCCACCTTGCTTATCCATGTTTTCCTCTTTCTTCTCCACAAATCAGTCTATTTCTATTTTTTCCTAGATTCAAACACTTGCTACCCAACATAACTACTCTTTAGTAGCCTACTTAGGAAAAGAGCAATCAAAAGATGATTTGCTCGGTGCTCTGAATTGTCCTAATAGATATCTACAATAAACCAACCACAAGTGACCAAGAGAAACCATATCTGAAGATCTAGGCAAAGATCAACTAATTGTAAAAATAAATTGTTTAAAATTATAGTCAAAGACATGGAAGCTTGCAAGTGACTCTTTAACTAAAGCAGTGGTATCACCATCCAACTCCTCTTTAACACAACTAGCATCACAAAATTCAAACATAAGAATAATTTTCTCTCGGTAATCTCCTCTGGTTCCACACTTGATAAATATGTCTATGCCATTCTGCCTCAGATTACTTGTTTTTGGCAATGTTAGCACGTTGGTACTTCAAATCCTCTCGAGCTGTGTAAGGAGAAAACGCTTAAGAGAAAAACAGGTAAGAAGAGCTATGAAAATAGGCACTGTACCTAACTGGTAAGATCTTCCATCCCCAAGCGGGTATCTCTGGTAGCGTGGGACAGTGAATGGGGGCAGGAGGTGGAATCTTTTCTCCAGCAATGGTTCAAGTCTGCAGGCAGAGGGGTCAGCAGAGTGAAAGAAACTGTACACTTGGCTGCAGGCAGGGCGGACCTGGCACACTTGAACGAGAATGAGACTGAGTTCAGTATTGCCCCTTCACAATTTTCAAGGAGTCTATACAAAACATGGTTAATATGGTCTTCTGCAAACTCCAGACTAGCATACATCCAGCCACAAGAAATTTAACTAAATTGTTTGCTATTTCATAGGTAAAGAACACTTTGCTGCAAAGGAGTTTACAGAGACATCACAATCAGAGATGCAGACATGCAGCAGATGTGGAGACCAGCCACAGAAGGAGATGGAAGTAAGAAGAAAGAAGTTTAAAAATCCTGTAAATATATTATTGAGCATTACAGCTATGATACTCAGCACTTCAAATATTTACCAGCAAAATGGTTTGATGGGCCTGTTACATCCAGAGGACTTAAATCTAGGTGACAGCAGGAGCAGTTAGGTTACAGGAAGCACTGCAGTTTCTGAAGTCACATTATGGGAGCTAACGTACAAAAATGAGGTTTTATGATTCTTATGATTCTTTGCATTAAGCTCTGTGTGAGAGCATTTAAGCATAGCAGAAATTAATTCTTTGCAAGGAAAATATAATTCTCTTGCAGAGCCCAAATAGTGTGCAGTACATTCTGTGAAGTAAAGCATTGCACTGCATTATAATTAAAACCATATTTTGCCAAGCCTATAACTTCGACATATGTATTTAGGGATCTAGTGCTTATAAACTACAGCACTAAACTGGGTATTACTCTACTAAACTAGAGCTTCCTTCCCTAGTGGGTAGTATATTGGTTTATTCTTTCTTTCTTGTCATGTTTAATATTAACTGTCAGAGCCAAACATATAGGAAGCTTAATCTAATTAAACCAGTTGCCTAATTGTGTCTTCTAATACTTCTTGCACAGAAACTTTTTCTGTGTGTGTCTGCCTTCTGGACATGCACAGAAGGCAGACAGACAGGAATGCAAACAGCAGGGTTATGAAAGTTGTCAGCATAGGGCAAATTATGATATTTAGTGGCAACAAGAAAGCATGTCCTCTGAGTTATCAGCTGTTTTCACACCCCTCTTCCAATGTGGCAATGGAATACAGCACATGATGTTCCAAAGAAGATTACTTCCTACTACTGTGGCATTTAGCAGTACTAGTTCCCATTGAGAACAAGTGCAAAACACCCAACAGTTACAGCCATCCTAAGGTAGAACAGTGCCACTTTGTGGCTGTAACTAAATGCTCATGATAAATTTGGAATTAAAAAACATCAACATTTTCATAGGGTGGCAAGCCTCTACCAAGGATAATCAGCACACCGAGAGTGGAAGAATCTGCCAGAGACACACAAATGACCAGTACCTTAGAAAAATAAGAGCTAAGACTAGACAGCGGGAAGATGACAGAAGAGAGTGCTAGAGGGTAACCAGAACTGCCAAAGAAGCACTGAGAGACCAACAGAATATTCAACAGAAGAAAATTAAAAGGCACTTGGCAAAGGAAATAAAACCCCAAACCACCACCATCTTCACAGGGAAGTGTTGCTAATCTTGTAAAGAAATCCCCAAAGACAGAAAAACAAATTGCAGCGCAGTTTTCAAAGCCAGCCATCACCTATGTAATTCCTGTTCATTTCCCTGACAGCTCTTTCACAGAAGCAAAAAGCCTTAGTTTGTGGGAAAATATGTATGAATTTCCATTCTCTTTAGCTGAGCTTTGGGGTTGGGTTTGTTTTTTATTTGAATAAAACTGAGTATTGCAAATATGAGGAATGAAATGCAAGTTGCAAGTTTAATTACGCTCTCTTGTAAGTCCATGGAACTTGCTAAAAAAAATCCTACCAAATTTCTAAAAGCTCTGAAAGACACAGGTTTTCTCATTTTTTCAATTATGGCAAGTAAAATAATTTTTTCAGTTGATTTTACATTCCACTTTATTCCTGCAATCACATGTGACTTTGAAAACTACACTACTCAAAACTCCATAAATTGAGAAGAAATAAATTGTGAGTCCTCAACTGTTGTCTCTTCGTAGTATTGCAACTGATTTTTCTCCCTCACCTGATAAATGAATGTATCATTTCCTATGAAGATGCTGTGCTAACCAAACCTCAGAGGGAAAACAAAAACACAAACTGAATTTTGAAAAGTAAAGTAAGCTCATATATTAACTGAAAAAACAACAAAATTCAGATGTATTTAGAAAGAAAACAAAAAAATCCTGTATGTATCTGATCACTAGGCTGTTACCAGAGATGAAAAAATGGCCCACAACCAACACACCCAGGGGCCAAATTTACCCCCGAAGAGAGACATGAGTAAGACTCAATGCTGAACCAAGCACAGATGTTATTTCTGTTTCTTTTCAAGGACTGATCCTTACTGAAGTGTAAGCTTCATGTTGTATGACATGGAATATACGTCGTACAACAGAGCAGAAGACACATGTGGCCGAAAGCAGTGACAGCCCCAGAACAGGCCCCATCACCTCAGTACCTACTACACTAACACTCCCATCTTTTAGAGGAAGAAACTTAGCCTAGTTAAAGACTGGGGAGTGAAGTTTTTCATTTACCTCCTTTTACAGCAGTCTCTTCATTTACAAAGTTCATTAAGCAGCCTGTATTCCAACCCTAGAAAGCGCTTACCGGCCAGGCCAGGCAGAACAGTGCTCCTCATGGCCAGCACCAGGCCCAGCGGTGATCCAAAGAGGAAAAAATCAGACACCTCGAATTCAAATCGGCCCAGGTTTACTTCTGAGAGACTGGAATCCACAGGAGGAAAGTCTGTACCATCTTTCAATACATTAGAGTGGATGCTGAGCAAAGAAAATGTACTGATTCAACAATAATGAAGAGGGCAGACACTTTACAACATATCAATATCCAGAGAACCCAATGGTTTGAAAATAAAAGCAGAACAGTCAACAAAAGCAAAGCATAGTACATTTAGTCAAAGCAAGAAAATAAAATTACCTTAAACTGCTACTAACAAAACTGCCAGACTTGAACTAAAGCACAGTAGTAAGTCTGCACTATACTCAATTTTAGCAGAACTAAAACTTCAACACACAGTAAGATTTCTCCCTCTGCATCACTCCCAATGAAATAAAGGAAATAAGATGATGGGTAGAGGAAAAAAAGCACCAAGTATTCAGATAAGTAAAAAACCCAAAGAACTCAGAATAGGCAGAAACAATGAGACAAAAGGAATGCTTATCTTCCCATCAAATCTGTGTTTTAAAGGTTTCTTAAGATCCAGGAAAACTAATCCACTTAACTATCCCTCCCCTAACCTCCTTCTCATTTAACCCAAACTTTTATGCAGGGTTCTTTTTGTTGTTGTTTTAAAGCTGATCTGAATTGCTCACACCAATGGGAGCACCTAAAGCAATTATCTCACTATAATCAGAGTAATAGTAACCCTGGAACTGAAGTCAGAGAGATCTTTAGAACAAAAAACATAACAGAAATTTAGAATTATAAAGCATTCATCCATCTTGATTTGGGGGGGGTGCACCGAAGAAATGGAACTACTTGCATTCAGTTTTGCATATTCAAAACCCTTCAACTGAATAAAGATTAAATAAAAAACTCTCCATGTGTGATTAAGTTCATACTAGATGCAAAATCTCTGTTGTTTCCTTTGAGGGTATACAGGGATTTTAAGCAAACCTCCAGAACTGCACCACAAATAATCACAACTGTTCTGGTAGCTCTGATGCTGACAGGCTGCATCCCACAACAAGCCTTTTTCCTTTACTCAGTCACCAATGACTAGTTACCTGGTCAGGAAAGCATGATGCTGGCTGATAGTGTCACAGTCATAGGTGGATGAGTCACTCTGTTTCCTGGGCATCGGCTTCTCATCCTCCACCATCCCCAAGATGTCAATATTGCTTTTGCTCAGGCGTTTGCTGCCACCCAGACTGCAGTCCTCTGCTACGGGGGGATTATCCTTCAGAGAACGAACACAGCAAAAGGAGGATTTAGACAGTGACCAAAATACAACAGAGCCTATACGAAATGGCTGCATTTATACATTTGACCTCACTTTATCCAAGAAAGGGTGGAAGGCGTTAGACTTTCTTTCTCTCTGCAGTAGAAGATAAGGAAAGAGATGAAGATTAAGTTTCTGTGTAAGATGTAAAGCCTAAAAGCTGGAAGGAGCACAGGGAATTTTAGTGGGGGGAGGAGGAGAACTAACACAAAAGCTTTATCCCTCATGACTTCATCATTCTTAGAGAACTATAAATATCATAAGGTAATCAGAAGGGGTCTTACCTGACTGCACAAAATGCTCATTACAACATTAATGGTCTTGCTCATTGTGTTCCATGGATGCGGGACCTGAATTTTTGAGAATGTGAACTTCTGCAGGATGCAAGAGGAGACCAGTGGTACCATATCTTTAAGGTACCCATTAAAATAGGAAATAGATTTATTTATTGTTCATTTCCTCCAGCATTTCTGCAGATTGCACCAGCATCCTCCCTGACACATCCCTATTCCCCCGAGACTTTTACTCCTGCATCCCTTTTCAGCAGCCAATGCGAACGCTGCTTTTCAAATCAAACACCATTGGACTGAATCCCCTGTTCCTGTGTGAGATCAGGTGCATGAGACACCAAAGATCTGGTTCTTTCTAACAACTGTGTAATCCAATTCCATGTAAATCTCTTTCTATTCAGAACAACAAAATAAGACAGTGTGAAAATTCCTGACATCCATTTTTACAAAACTTCAAAAACAGCAACAAGGCACACTGGGAGAACAGATACAGTTAACCCCCTTCTATTGGCATAATTATTTGTTTTCATCCATATTCTACTAACTCCCCCTAGGCAAGGGGAGGGTATGGAGAGAAGAAGTTTTTCCTCTAGCAGAGGAGGACCAGGTTCAGGACCACTTGGCCAAACTGGACATTCATAAGTCTATGGGCCCAGATGGGATGCACCCATGAGTGCTGAGAGAGCTGGCAGATGTTCTCGATGGGCCACTCTCTATCATTTTTGAAAAGTCATGGAGAACAGGAGAGGTGCCTGAAGATTGGACAAAGGCCAACATCACTCCAGTCTTCAAAAAGGGCAAGAAGGAGGACCCTGGGAACTACAGACCAGTTAGTCTCACCTCCGTCCCTGGGAAAGTAATGGAGAGACTCATTCTAGATGTCATCTCCAAACAAGTTGAAGAGCGCGGGGTTATTGGAAGTGGGCAACATGGATTTACCAAGGGTAAATCATGTTTGACCAATCTGATAGCCTTCTATGATGCTATAACTGGTTGGCTGGATGAGGGGAGGGCAGCAGATGTCATCTACCTTGACTTCAGCAAGGCTTTTGACACTGTCTCCCGTAACATCCTCATTGGGAAACTAAGGAAGTGTGGGCTGGATGAGGGAACAGTGAGGCGGATTGAGAACTGGCTGTGACAGGACCCAAAGGGTAATGATTAATGGAGCATGTTCAAGCTGGAGGCCTGTAACCAGTGGTGTCCCCCAGGGGTCAATACTTGGTCCAGTCCTGTTCAACATATTCATCAGTGACCTGGACGAAGGGACAGAGTGTATCCTCAGCAAGTTTGCTATGATACCAAACTGGGAGGGTGGCTGACACCCCAGAGGGCCGTGCTGCCATCCAGTGAGACCTGGACAGGCTGGAGAGCTGGGCAACATATTCATCAGTGACCTGGACGAGGGGACAGAGTGTATCCAGTCACTAAAACTTACTCATGAACACCCCCAGGCAGTAGCATAAGGAATTCTAGACCCTATGTGAACAAATAAAAAAATTACTAAAATAAAGATAAAAGACCTTTAGCAAAACCAGGAGACTACCAGAGGCTCTGGTTTACTGACAGAGGATGTTTTTGCATCTACAGTTAGGGATACAATAAAGGGCACTTGGTAACCCTACTTTAAAGATTTACAGATAAAGCCTTCACTAGGGGTTTCTGTGTATCATAAAACTGAAGCTGCAGACTTAATATCCAGACAGCAATTTTTTGACATATGAGCAAAATCCCATGCTATCATGGCAATTTACCAAATCCTTAAATTTTATCTGGTTTATATGGAGCTTATTTCCTCCAGGGAATGAATCTATAGGGTTTCAGCTGTGTGGACTTCTTGTCTTCACCTGAATGCTGCTGACACTTCCTCTCCTGCTACTGTTCCGACTCTCATCAGCTGGATTAGAATTATAGCAGATGGCATCAAAGCCCAAAATTCCTCCAATGCAGTCACCAATGAGACACACCTGAAGAAATAAAAAGATTTTCTGAGGAGATGTAGCAAGTGTTTTAAAAGAAAAAAAGCATCACAGTATTGCAGAATAGTTGCTGTCTTACTTTACACCCTTGTTCCTGTTTTTCTTGTTTGTTTTTTTTACACCTTGGTTCTTATTGCAGCTGAAAATGTGTAGCCACTTTCTCCCACTTCCTCCTTTTATCTCCAGATATATGCCCTGAGCCAAGAGTATCTGTCTCAGGGACTATTTTGACCAGCTGAGAGTTCGGCCAAATGGGCCAGAATTCTTCTAGCTGCTTGCAGCCAGACTGCAGCTCCAGAATTCCAGATCACCCACAGATTTCACGCCACTTAAGATTTCCTTCAGAATCACACCAGGAAGAGGATCTCAAGAGATTAAAACCAGATTGGTCCCTGACAGGACATGGGAACGGAATTTTTAAATGAGGTACTAAGCAGAGAGATTCACTCTTGCTTCACATTTAAGATAAATATAAAAGCTGCATTCAAAGTATGGACCTGGGAATTAAAATACACAGAGTACTAAAATTGGGAATTAAATAGTTGGAGTATACTAGGATGTATCCCACAAGCCTATTCCACTGAACTACTCCCCATCCCACAGGAGACAACCCCTTCCCTCTGTCCCCCGGCCTGTGTCTGAGGATCAGCAATAGCTGTATTACTGTTTTCCTTGATAACAACCCCCACAGTTCACAGGTTCCAGTTTCTCTGCAATCTTCAAACTGAAGCAAATGTTTAGTCTTGTTCCCAACTTCATTTAGTTTAACAGAAGACAGTACTTCTCCTCACAAGCCTGAACTTGCAATATAAATGGACAGAGGAGACCAAAATATGAAAGAAAATATACAAACAGGGCGGGGTTAGGCTATATGGTATATATTCTCGAAGTGCAGGACTTATTCAGAGGTGGAGTTGAGACCAAAGCAAAGCACTGAAGAGAGCACAGAGAAGTTACTTCCATTCCATCAATGCCAATAATTGTTGATGGTGAAAATTCTGTGGAGCATACAGAGGTATTGCAGAGTCTCCCACATGAAATATTAATACATATGTTTGCAAAACACACCAAGGAGACGACTTTGTAACTTTGTCAAAGAAAAAACCAACCTATAACACTAAATTTTTTATATAGAGAATTGTTTTCACAAATATTTCTGTAACTGTTGTAATTCTTCTTCACATAACCTCACCCTTCATAATGTTCTGTCACTGCAGCTGGGCTGATTTTATGCTTCAAGCATAAAAGCACTATGGATATTAAAACTGCCTTCAAACCAAATTTTAGTCTAAAAATATTGATATGCCACAGCATAATCTTATTACTGCTATGGAAAAGAATTTGTTTGTGTAATAAGACACATGCTTTCCTTCAAAGATTACACTGTACTCTATATTAAATGTTGGGGTTTTTTTTACTTTTTCTGAAGTCTGGAAGTCACTGTACTTTAAGGAAGTGCATGTTTCTGGCTACATAGAAGGCCCCACCACAAAATCATTTCAGTAACTCATACAAGGTAGCAGTACCATATCTATTCTATGTGAAGCAGGAAAGTACTGGGTTTTGTAGTCTAAAGATGGAGAAGTAGGAACAATAACTGTGACATGCCAGCCTGAAGTCTGCAAGTGATTTCACTGAGGAGTGGGTCCCATCAGAAAAGTTACATGACTTTCCCAAAGTTACACAGGAAATCTGCAACACTGCAGGCAATGGAGTATTTGCCCTCTAAGTTTCTTTACTGTCAGTTGTTCTACTACTATTGTGATGGAGGCAAAAAAGAAATAGCGAAAGTTAAACACTGGATTCGTTATGCTCTTAGTCAGAGATATCCCAGCTCTTCTCTCAGCTCTAGCAGGTGTGTAATGAGCTCAGTAACACAGTTATTTCTTGCCTTGGGCTGGCACGTCTGTCCCCTGCTTGGCACACCACACAGTGCACAACCAAGGCTTACACATTACCAGAGTTCGCAGCAATACTGAGGAAGAGCTTAGGGGTCAAAATGCTTGTGGGAGAAGGTATAGTATTCTTCTACCAACCGAGTAAGTCCAGGTTAGATACTGCACAAGTTTCCAGAAGTGTCTTTCTCATGCTGGGCACTGAGAGGATGTTTTGCATAGGGAATGCCATACTAACATTCATTCATCATATTTGCAGTATTGTCCCACACTCATAACTAAAAACTGTCAACACAATGGCTTACAAAGAAACAGCCTTGCTTGGAAGGAATTTGATGTAAGAGAAAATAGTCCTACCTGTCCATTAAAACCAGCCCCATCTGTGGATTTGAGAAATTCATTGTAAACTTGATTGGCTCTACTAATCACCATGGCAACTGCATCCTGGTACTGAGGGGATGAAACAGCCAGCAAGGGCAAGGCAGCCAGCGGGATGTGATCTTCGCTGCTGCTGAGACAGCTCTCATCGTAGCTGTAGGGATTTAGGCTAGAGAAAGACACGTTATCATCAGGAAAAACGCAAGAGACAGCAAACAACGTTAGAAAATGAACCGATACTTATTGACAGAAATGGGCTGGGCTATTGCAGTTCACAATGACAGAATACAGGAAAGATTATTGTATCATAGAATTCAACAGCTTAAAAAAATCGAGTTACTGCTTTATGTGAATGAGATCATGCTAGAAGACATTTCTGTAATTAAACATACTTGATGCAATTTTTCCATATACAAGTAGGCATCATTTAGAACAGCAAAGAGATTATTCCATTTCAGCTTTTTTTCCCCAGCAAAGAATGGGATCGAATCGTCACAATGGAACTAGAACACAAGTGTGACAGATGTATTCTTTAAAAGCATACAAAAACATTCTTCCCAGTGTCCTATCCTTTCAAAAAGATGGAACAAAGCTGCACGCATTCTGAAATCATCCGTAAATGTTTGCATAGTAACATTTTGTAAAAAGGAGGCAACTCAAACACAAGCTTAAATTTGATGTCAGCTTTATTTTAGTTCAGATGTGCACTCTGCAAGTTTCTTAGTACATCTGCCAACCGTGTCTTGACTGATTTTTATTGATGAGTGGGGAAAACAATTCACAGAGAGCCAAAGACACAAGGCACATCAGTGTGTGCCAGATTCTCTTACAGTAAGTTGACTGTCCTTTCAAGATTAAAGGAAAGTCAGAAGTATTCTGGGTAATTCAGCTCATCCAAAGTTCACCTAAGGCTGCAGGCAGGCAACTTCAACACTATTTTGTATTCACTTTCTTTAGGAACTTGGTGGGTTATCACAATATTAAAAAGTAAGTTGTCTGAAACAGAATTAGTCTATGTTTTTACTAAAACCTGCATCCTTGAGACTATTACCAGAGTAATGGAAGAAGAACAGAAGACTTGCCATGCTGGTCTTTTTTCAGCCTCACGAGACATTTCCACACTTGCCTCTTGCCGAAGCACTCCGATGATTTGGTATTGCTAATCCAAAGTAGTGTAACGGCTTCTATGTCCTAGAGCTCAGCCGCTCTGCCAAGCTGTGGCAATTTACCACATAACACAGCTTCATTCTGCCAGCTGACTGGATCATCCCAACGCAGAGCAGACATACAGATATATAAACAGTGGTTTTTTTTATTTATATGTGAGATATAGGAAAGTGGTGGAAGGAGACCAGATTAAACAATCTGGAACTTTTACTAGATGGAGTGGTTTTGCCCTGAAAGATCCCTTTCCCTTAAAGCACTATTTGCAGCACAGAGAGGAGACCTGTGTAGGTGCATTCAGATGAAGAGTCCCAGTGGAATCACTCTGAGCCCAGGCACTCGGCACAGACACGGCATCGTTCAAAACCCATGCCAAGGTAGGCAGAGGGTTGTACCACCTTGGCACACACAATGTCTGCCCATTCTGAAAATGGAGGATCCCTTCAAACCAAATAAGAAATCTTGTGCTGCTGCCTAGTCAGTCATCTGGCTCACCCTAAGTGAAACACTGCAGTAATTAACAACACACTTCCTCCCCCACAGTTTGTTAAATGGAACGTTTACCACAAGTTTATGTTCTACAACTGCATCCTGAAGTTCTGGCTGTGAAAGTTGCTGGCGTGAAGCTGCGGAAATGTGAGAGCAGGGAATCATCTCTCCTTTTGTACATCACAAGCAGTTCCACGCAAGACACACAAAGGCAACACCAATCCTATGTCAGTGCTGGGACTGATTCTATAGGACATTCAAACATCCAGCTTGGGTATTTCCAATCTGGCTGAATATCACACACTTTTCCTTCCACTCTACCAGCTCTTCTTCCAGGTAGTTGAGACCTGCAGGCACTGCATTATGAATAACTAAGAGATACTGCTGAGCCCTGTGTTAACCAGGGGCCTGAATGGGTGAGGACAATCTCCCGAACACTCTTTGATGCTTCATCTCTTCTACTGCCAGTACTCTTGCTTTGCATGGCAGCAGCTGGGACATACACACATTCCTCCTTTGTGGTTGGTTCAGTGCATCCCCTTGTTGATGTGAAGTCAGACACATCAAGACCTTCCACGAGACTGGTCTGCACCCTGCCGCCTCTTTCTTTGTGTCTGCCACAGCTTTAAGTCCAGCCAGTATTTCAGAACTTTACTGCATTCCCCATCTCTCCTCTCTAACTCTCATCTGCCTCTCAGCAGGCATCACCACTCCCACATCCACATCTAAAACGTGGTTGTAGACCTCCTCAACTCTTCTGCAGAGTTTTCTGCTCTACATGAGGTTCAAATGTAACCTTGGGCACTATATTGCAACAGAAAGACTATAAAAGTGATCGTCACTCAGGGAAAGCCCCGGACAAAACCAAGAGAAGTTTCTCTTTGTTTAGAAAAGAAGAAATCAAGCAAATCTGATTCTCTCCTCCCCATCACTAAAAAATTCACTAGTTATACATGGTTTACACTTGTAGAAGAACTGAAGCAGAACCAAGAGCATGTGTTTCTTTCTCCTTTCTCTATCATGCCATTTAAAATATTTACGTCAAGGAAAATATCACTAAGGAAAGAAATGTTACCTGAAAAGGTTCTGTCATTTAATGAGTGAATTTCAAGACTGAAAAAGTGGGCAAGGAAGAGCAGCTACTGAAGTGGGTACATCCAATGGAAAATTCCACTTGTTATTTCTAAATTCATTTCACTACAGTCAGGTCATTATGATGATGTGGAAGCCAATCATACAGCACTCAGTGGAAAGTTTCTTCACCACCTGCTAAAACTTGCATTCATTTAGCATGCAAGTAAAGCTGTACAGGAAAGTTGTTTCAGTGGGGGGGGGGGGGGGGGAGCGATAAATTATATTGTGTA